TCCACGCCTTTGTAAAGTCACAGGTAATATTTTTGACAAACAAGATTTGATAGTATTTCTATTTGTTTTTGCTGACAAGAGTTTTGCATACTACTTATGTGTACATAAGTGGGTGTGTGTGTATTGAAAGACATTAGTAAATGATTCATATATGAATTGATTTTATTTTGCACGTCACGCCTGCATTTAATTGATAACATTTTAATTGTGGTTTGTTCTTAGGTGCGATTGGTTTCTGAGCTGGGAAAAATCGAGGGCAGTCTCCAAGAGATAAACAAGATGAAAGTGAAAAAGGAAATTGGTCAATACTCCATTGAAGTAATCGAGTTGTTTTAGACTGTGTACAGAACACTTTTCATAAACCTTCGAGCCCATTATTCTCAACAGAATTTCCAGTATTGTGTCTTGTTTTATTGGTGCTTTTGGCACTTACACATTTACTGTTAAGATATGAAAATGTATGTAATCAGCAACTTGAGGCTTGCAGGCCAAATTTGGCCTGCCAAATCGTCCAATCAACCCTGCGACTGGATACAGTCCACACAAAGTCTGGCCATCCAACAAATATTGCTGGTGATCCCTGACTTAGGGTGTGTTTCAAACCATGCAGATGACCTTAGTTGTGTAATTACCTCACACTGAATACATACTGTACATTGACTTGTCTTCATATTCTTGAAATTTCCATGAGACACCAGAGCGGTGATGGTTTTCTTATTGTTTGGAGTGGGATGTGGTTAAAAGAGTAGGAGAGTCAATTGCTGTGTTTTGTATGTTGTACATCTTTCACCAGAGATTCAGTGGCTTTTCACAGAATGCTTTTGGTATTGAATGGTTTAATATGATGACAACGTTGTATATCTATGTGTGGATTCTGATGTATTTTTACAGAATGATCAACATTAAAAAGAAGCAGTGAAACAGATTTGGATGCGAGTAAGTTATTGTGATAGTTATACTGTACATGCTAGCTAGCAATTGACTATATGTTTTATTATTAGCCTTTCTTAGACATACTAACAAATAATCTTTACAGATTAGTTTTTATCACACTCTACTTCTACAAATACTGAATGCACGGTGTATATTTAAACGTGACAAAACTATTTCCAAGTGGTTTTTACGGTATCAGAAGTCCCTAGAGTACAAAATGGGAATAAACTAAAAAGCCAGATGGATGTCCAAAATTTGCAAATATCTGTTAAAAGATTCCTCCATTTCATGGGTAAGAACATATTTGTGCCTGACTAGATTCAATTCTATACTAATTAAACATCTTGTAGAACTAGATAACACATTTTTCTAATTCAAATTTCATGACCTCACACATTTTTAATGACATTTTGGGGTGCTATGTTTGCTGATATGACTGTTTACAAAAATAATTATGGCTACAAAATCAATTAAAATTGACATTTCTAAAAACTTTACAAGGAATTAATCTTGTCATTTTTTTAAATGAGGGTTGTGACTTACCATAACAATTCAGTTAACACTTTAGCGTTGGGATAAAGCGAGTCTGCTTTTTTGTGGCGCTGTACACCAACTATTCCAACTATTCTTTTAGATTAAAAAAAAAAGAAATAAAATTGAGTATGTTGTAAAGCGTCAGTATTTTAAGGAGTATGCATTCAGGTAATCATGCGTGAAATTTATACTATTTATTTAAAACGATCGACACACAGCTACACAGCAATAAGTCATGTAACAATTAACGTTATTATATAGATAACCCTAAAACCAAAACGTATATTTTTCCTTTTCTACATTCACTTATTTCGTGTCAGGAAATCGTGCACTCAGTTGCACTCTATGTTTTACATATGTGGACTCTAAACATGCTTATGTTTAAATTTTAGCATGACTTTGATGAACAAATATGTTTAACTGCATCAGAATAAAGACACATTTCTTCAATACTGGACCCCACCTGGGGCTCAGGCCACTCTTAGTGCTTGTAATTAACTATGAACTTGAAGTACTTACAGGTTCAACTCATTTTATGAATTAGCACGGCAGTTGCGTTTATCGTAAAATATCAATTCACGTGAGCTAGCACCTTCAAGCCTTTACAGTGTAAAACTTCGATATTAGAAAAACAAATCGCGTTTTCATCGGTAAAACCACAACGGTTTCATTTTCTTTATACGCAGTTAAAGTCGTTATATTGGTAGCTAATGGCAAGATCTATATATTGTGTTCTATATATTTTGTTAATGTTTTCGTTGGGAAAAAAAGGCGTGATTTTAATTTGAAGGAAACAAAATGTAGTTCCTGTGGAACAAACGCATGTTTCTGAAACTTGACGCAGCTTTATGGCCTGCTGTGTTTTCAACGCAGGGAGAGCCAAGAAGAAAAATGGCGTCCAAAGGCGACCCAGAGTGGGAAACCGGCCCTTCACTCTGAGCGTTTCACCCAGGAACAGAGTCCAGGGCTTGGGGGAGACATTCAAGGACTTACCGTTGGCTACGCTGGTGTTTTAGACTCAGTTTTCTTAGGTTTGTGGGGCTCATTCGACCACCGAGATTGGAGCGGAACGGGAGAGACTCTCTCCTACAATGAGGGGGAGAAGGGGAAGGCCGCCCAAACAAGCAGCTGTGATGCGGGAAGGTTCACCCGGACCAGTCCGTGGCTCCCGAGGCGGCAGGACCAGGGGGATGCGTGGACGGGGAAGAGGTCGAGGTCGCGGTCGGGGACGAGGAGCAAGTGGCGTCGATTGCGGCACTGCTTCTGCGGAAGTGGAAGCAGACATCTCTGGACGAGAGAACTTTCATTCGTCCCGGGGCCGCAGGAAAGTTGGATCCTCCATCACGGTGGCAGCGGCATCCCGGGGCAGAGGAAGAGGCAGGGGGTCGAGAGGCAGCCGCGGCAGTAGAGGCGGAGTGAGGCGGCCCCAGAACAAGGTGGTGTACGACGACAACAGCGATGAGGAGGATGATAATATAAGCTACCGCTCAGAGGAAGAAGACGAACTCTTAAACGACAACGCTTTTTCGGATCTAGGAGAAGAAGATGAGGAGGCCCTCGGAGACGAATTTGACTGTGTGGAGGAACTACCATATGATGACGATGATGATGCCAGCTACTGTACCGAGAGTAGTTTTAGAAGCCACAGCACCCTGGGCAGCACACCGGGTACGTTTAGTTGCAAATGCACGGATTTATTTTTGCAATACTGTAGTCGTGGATTTTATATTTAGCTCTGAACAAAAAGCAAGCTGCATGATTCAAAATGGAGCTTGCACTCAGAGACAGGCCTTTGTTTACCGGGTGTGCTCTGCCAACCGCGGGTATGCCCTCTGACGCTACACGCTTCAACAACCGGCTTTCGTTTTTTAGTGTTTTTGTCGGTTCTCCACGTTTTTGTTTTCTGTTTTATTTAAAATAGTGTAAGGATTATTTTTAAATGGGCCGTTGGTGCTCACACGCGCCAAAATTGAAAGTGTGGACAACGTTTTGCTGCATTTCAGACATTCAGTCATAATGAAAGATCGTAGAAGTTCACAGTTTACTATGGAGCAGTGATCCATCAGTGCACGTAGTTTATACACGTTAACGAATAAATCAGATTAGAATTTATTAGCGTTCCGTTTAATTTTCAAGTAGGTGTATTGTATATCACTTGTTAGTTATCCAGCTACACGCACCATGCATTTCTCGTCTAGTTGCAGGAAACATAGCACCTCCACGGTGTTGCTAAATAAGTTGGTTTTAAAGGAAGGCGCCTTTCCACTTGTTGCGGACATCATTATAATGTACGTGCTGGACTGTTACCATAGTAACAGTCCCGGATGCTCCTTTACATACACAATTATGAAAAATTACAATCAATGTGTATCACAAACATGACCTTACACTTTATAATGACGATAGCGATTGACGATTTTTACTTGGAGAATTACGTTTAACGACAAAGTCATAGTCAACAAGTACTAAAGTATTTAATTTTTATAAATGTCATATTTCATGAAAATATTATGGCAGTTTTTTGTATCTCACTATATGGCGACTGACTTTGACCCTTCTGAAATACCCATAGTAATGGGTAACAGTACAAAAGGTAACTGAAAGTATTATTAGTCCTGCGATGAATGTGGAACACTTTCCCTAATGGCTGAATGCCCCCAACTCCCCCACCCTCCACCCCCCCCAAAAAAATGCATGTCCTTGACCTTTTGTCTGTATAGATGTATCCACTGGTAACTTTGATTGTAATAATGAAACATACATTCTCTGATTCAGCAAGTTAAGTTCAGGAACACCTCTAACTTAAAAAAAAAACATGTGAACGAGCAGAGTTGAGTTTCATTTGGTCTGTGTCAGACTTGGACAGGGAAGTATAACTGATCCGGAACAAAGTGATGAGTTCAAGAAACAAAGGTTGGGTAGCTGTCATGCTTTTATAACATATATGCATATCCTGTAACATCAGTATTACATGTTAATATGCCAAAATATATTAATGCTCTTGATCAAAGTGTTGTTGTGTTTGAAATGTGGAGTGTTTCAAAATCAGTTGTCATAGAGTTAGCTTCTGTGAGTCTGTGAGTGCAAGTTGCAAAAATGAGAGAATTCTAATAGTTCTGTCCCTGTCGATTATAGTCCCACAGCCTCATTCGAGCAGGCAATGTACTGCAATAGTTAAAAGTGCAGCAACGACTAGGACTGTTGTTGTCTCTTTTCACTTGGTTAGGCTTTTGCTTATGAATTTTTCTGATGTTTAGACTTTGGTTCTGTCCTTTATTGCTACATATATCTCATATATAGATATATATATGTTATAACACAATTACATTTTCTTTTTACAGGCAGGAAAAGGAGTAGGACAGTGCAACCAAGGTCTCCTATCCTTGAAGCAAAGGACATTCCTCCCTTGGAGCTCCCCAAGTCGTCTGAGGACCTCCTGGTCCCTACCTCACAGCTGCTCAGTGTGTGTGCTGTCTACGAAGTCCTCCGCAATTTTCGCTCAGTGCTGCGGCTTTCTCCATTCCGTTTTGAGGATTTCTGTGCAGCGTTGTCCAGTCAGGAACAATGCACCCTGCTGGCAGAAACCCATATGTCTCTGCTCAAAGCTATTCTCAGAGAGGAGGACACCTCCAACACCACATTTGGTCCTGCTGACGTGAAGGATTCTGTTAACTCCACTCTGTATTTTGCAGACGGTATGACTTGGCCAGAGGTGGTGCGAGCCTACTGTGAGAGTGACCAGGAATACCGGCATATTCTGCCTTTTCAAGAGAATGAGGATTATCCATATGAACCATTGGATAACAAAATTAAAGTTCTTCAGTTCTTGGTGGACCAGTTTCTGGCAACAAATATTGCCCGTGAGGAACTGATGTCAGAAGGTGTTGTTGCCTATGATGACCACTGCCGGGTGTGTCATCGTCTTGGTGACCTCCTCTGCTGTGAGACATGCTCGGCAGTTTACCACCTCGAATGTGTAAAGCCACCGCTGCAGGAAGTACCAGAGGATGAGTGGCAGTGTGAAGTTTGTGTGGCACACAAAGTGCCAGGTGTTGCAGACTGTGTCCCTGAAGTACAGAAGACGAAGCCATTTCTTCGCCAGTTGCCAGTGGGCTATGATAGACACCATCGCAAATACTGGTTTCTGAATCGTCGCATAGTTGTGTAGGTTTTCTGAGTTCAAATATGGTTTTAATATTTGATTAGAGTTAAAATTGACTTAATCATTGATCATTAACAGGCTTTCGTGATCATGGTAAGAGTTGTGTGAAGTTATAACATAAAGTAGTGGATCCCAAACCTTTTATGGCTTGTGCCCCATTTTGACATCACACATTTCTGACGATCCTAGAAATATATCTTACACTGTATTGCAAATGCAGAATAGCCAGATTAGTGCAAAAATTGACATTTTCCCTGACCACATATGCATTTAGTCAAGCTTGTCTTAAAATTAGATAGACAGACAGACACAAAAAAACAAAGAAGTGCTGCAGCAGCAGTACAGTATCAAAACAAGAGGAATAATACAAGAATAGATAGTGCAATACAAACAAGAATAGCAGCAGACCATCAAATAACAGGGAAAACCTGAACAGTAAAGATTTGAAAAACGTAAAAGTGCTTTTGTTTCAGCTCCAGATTGTCATGTCTTTTTTGTATTATTATTGTCCCCCTTAAAAAAACTTTTTATCAATTACAAGACATTTCAGGTGACCCCACCTGGGGACGTGACCCCAAAGTTGTAGGGACATTGGTGTCTTGTAGATGAATCATTTCACTTTCACGTGGCCATAAGTACTACTTAATTCAATTATGAATGTTCTCATTCATGGCTATAAGTCGAGCTGTGCTAGGACTTATCGCAATCATAGGCCAAACCGGTCCAATTTCTTCTGTTAAGACAACTGTTGCATTGTGAAACTTAGCTGCTTTCAGACCAGCCCACGTTCTAAATGGCTGGTTCTATGTCTTTTCCTGTTAAGGAATTTTAGTCGTTTTGTATAGCCGTCCAGATTTTAGTGAGACATCCCATTTTGGCAACAGCTACTCATGTTTGTTGTTGTATTTTACAACCGAGAATATATGGCTGTCATGAATGTTAATTGACATCATAAATCAAATAGGTACTATCAACATTCTCCAATTACATATAACTTGGCTGCTCCCTACCTCTGACCTTAAAGTTATTTTGCAAGGATCTGGGTGCTACAGTTGGCGCCACCTAGCTCTTCTTTGTAGTTTAGTTTGCCAACGCTTGTTGGGATACAGATGGCACCTCCTGTTAATAAGCGGATTATAACAAGATTGTAAACCGGAGACAGTTACTTTTTTGGTTGCACATGAAGTGCAAAGTAAGATCCAACGAAACCCTCCAAATTAAACAGAAAGAAATATGTGATGAGCTGAAGCTGAAAATCTGCATCTAATTGTCTTTACAGAAAGCATGCTGTGGTTGTTAGGAACCGGGTCAGGTCTATTAAACCAAACAAGTCTGGCAGTGATCGAATCTACTTGTTCAGGGTTCTTTATTTTCAGAATGAACTGAGTGTCTTGTGGAAATGTCACACTGCTTATAATAATTTATGATTGATTTATAAAAAAGAAAAGGTCAATCCATCACAGTTTTAACATCCTGGACAATAGTAGAATTGGTCTGTTTACATGTTTGACAACAGAGCAGTCACTGGTGGTGTGTGTGTTGGATCAGCAGCAGCTTAATACTTAATGTATTTAACCCTAATGGATTAGACCAGTTAGAACAGGGGTCTCTCACTCAAATGGCTAGAACCATGGCAGTATTTCTTTTAAATGCAGATATTATCTTTACATAGAATTGAACAGTGCAAAGTAAACACGGCCTATGCTTGTTGAACACTTTGGTTCTTAAAAAATAATAATTTATTATTAACATCTACCAACGGGTGTATGTAAGGGGTTTGTGGGCTGGGATTTTGAGACCCTGGTGTTGAAGGCTTGCTACTGCCGCATGTTTCTTTTTTATATTTCTAAGTGCTCCATCCTATTTACCAAATGCCTGTAGAGGAGTCCTACAAAGCACAATGTCTTTTGAGGGTCCCAGTCTGGACATTTTACACCAGATACCTAACCTGATGCAGCCTGCAACCTGTGGTTAGATGTTCGTGTTAAGATGGATTTCAACCAGGGATCTATTGCATGGCAGCTGGGATCTGCTGACTGTGCCCTATTTTATCCTCTTGTAGAATGTCATGAAATTTAGTAAAACATGATTATACTACTCTTTTCTTCATTATTGCTTAATTGTCTCCTACAGTGAAGAAAATGGTGAACAGGAGGAAAAGAACATCTGGTACTATAGCACTAAGGTAAGTGGTTTTACTGTGGTTTTATCTGTGAACGCTGTATCTTTACCAAGTTCATTTATACTTTTGTTTTTCTGTTTTTGAGACGTAGCCACTAATTGACTTGAATTCTGCCAAACTGTCCTTTTTGCAGGTCCAATTGGCTGAGGTCATAGATTGTTTGGACAAGGAGTACTGGGAGGCTGACCTCTATGCAGCCCTGGATGAGATAAGGGATGAAGTGCATACACATATGGACATCACTGAAGATCTCACCAGCAAGGCTCGTGGCAACAACAAGTGTTTCCTTACAGCAGCCAATGGTAAACTGCTTTCACTTCTTTCTTTTTAACATAGTAAACTGGAATGCAACGTTACACTCATCTCACGATGCAATTTGATTTTTTGTTCTCGATATGATTTTATCACAGTTTACTTTTTAAACAGAATGAGCTCCAGATAAATTATGACCAAATACAATGATCCTTTGTTGACAAATTTCCATCACCAACTAAAATGGTCTTGTTTATATCCAAAACTGAAAAGTGTGTAATTCTTTACATAAACACTCCATATCACCAGTTATCTCCTTTCATTAAAAGGAATCTGGTCTGATCGTATTCACCTCACTAACTGTCAATGTATAAAACAACAAAAGAACAAAAGAACTTGAACTCAAAAGACTTCCTTTCGTTACAGAAACGCTGTAAAACACTGTTTTTGTCTGTGAAAAAATTCTCACGTTCTGTTCGAACACCTGAATGTCACTTAGGCTACACAGGAACATGAGGTTTTGGTTTAATGGTCTCACAACCAATGTTTTTCGGTACTTATTGCCACATAGTGTACTAAAGTTTGTGCTCTGATGGTATGACCACTGACGTTTTCAGATAACCCAGCCCACTCTTTATGTCATGATGTGCAATTGTGTTTTTTCAACCCGTGCAAATTGGCAAGCATTTGTAAAGATTTTACATTGATTCATGACGTATCGTTAGATCCCATATTAGTATGCAGAGGACCCCTGTATATGTATATGTATGGTGTTCTTAACAAAATTACTACAGGCTACAAGGAAAAATACTGCTTTCCCAGCCCAATTCTAAACCCACAGAATGGCAGAATGGCATCCTTTCTCTCCCTATATGTATGTATGCTGCTCTGCTGAACAGCAACAGCTGACACATGGTGATCAACGACTGACCAAGTGTGTGAATCGCAGAGCACCATCTGTTGTTCATATTTTATGTTCCCAGTATTTGTTTTTTAAGAATTTTTATTGGAAACTGCATGTGCAATATAGCACATTTTAAACTGGACACTTCACACGTTGCTTTAAAATAATTTTAGTCTTTGAGAATTATCTGCGATCTAAAGAAGGTTCTATATTTATACATAAATTAAACACATAGCACAGTAAGCACAGTTCAAACTTTGTCTTTGGCATTTTGGCTCACTAACAAAACATTGTGGAAAAAAGTGTCACTGTCTAACAAATACCTTTTATGTTCCTCGCCACCACTCAATCCATTCTTTTTCTTCAGAGGAGATCCTGGACAGGTTGCGAGCGAAGAAGGAGGAGGAGCTGGAGGAGGTGAAAAGACGTGCAGCTGAGGAAGCGCTTAAAGCTCGACTGGAGAAGGAGAAAGAGGTGGCAGATGTAGAGAAGGAGGTTGAGGTGAACAATGAGAGACCACTGGATGGCAACGAACAGATGGAAGAAGAAGAAAAAAGTAAAGAGGCCACTGATGAGAAAGGGAATGAGGAAAAGACTGAAGGTAAATGTCATGTTTTTAAATTGTGAAATGGTGGTTGAAACTTATATTCTGAGAATATTGAAAGGGGAAAAACACATTTTCACACATTATTGCAAAATACTTTTATCCAGGTCTTTTCTTTACAAAATTAATTGTCAAAAAAGTATTTAGTATCTGTTGTCACTTAGTTGTAATTACAATATGCATTGCCGACTGATATTTTACCTCTTTAACCAAATACTTTCCTCTATACTGCTGGTTATCTGTAGTTGCTGAAGCTCCACCCACTGACCAAGAAGGCAGTAGTGGCAGAAACGTCTCCACTGCCTCAACACAAATGTCCAGTGTGAGCTCAGGGTTGGTTACTGTTGCTTCAAAGCTCTCAAGTTCCACTACAGAGGGACTAATAGAGGGGTGTTCCAATATGGAGGTCTCTAACGATACCAAAGGTACTTGGCAAATGAGTTCAGTGCCACAGCCTGCAAATAAACAAAGTCTCATTAAGACTTTTATTTAATACTTAGCATAATTTGACCTGTGACCTGTGCGTGTCAGCCGTTGCCCACTTCACTTGAGCTTTTATGCTGCTATAGGCTATTTTCTTACTGCTCTCCTGCCTCTATTTGCATGTATATGTGGAATTGGCCTCTCATCTGCTTCCATGTTGCTTCAGAGTTAATAAGGAATTTTTTTTTTCCTTTTTATTTTTTTTTTTCAAATCTAAAAGCTTATCACCACAATGGGCCTCAATGAGTCTCAGCTGGTTTCAGGGTTTTACTTGCTGCAGTAATTTTAATAAAACATCATGTCCGTCTGCATCAGCTTGTTCTCTCGTTTGTAATGAAGGCATGTGCACAAGCTTTCCCTTTTAGCTCGCTGTCAGAGTTCAAATAGTTCAGCACCTTACGCATCTGAAAATGCTTTTTCAATAGTGTGCCAGTAGAGGGAGCTACAGCCTTAACTTGTTGCGTATTGTATTTCGACTTCAAAAATGTCATTGCAAAATAAGTATTTGGGTAACAGCAGTCTGACTGGAAATGTTCAATGTGATTTTCTCTCCACGTAGCAGAAAGCCCGTCTCTAAACTCTCCGAGTGCTGATGTGATACCCAGTCTAAGCCAGCCTTCCCAAACAAGTGAAGAGAACATTAACTGCAGCCCGGCTGCTGCAGTGCCTCCCAGTGGACCTGAGCCACCTGATCTGGCTGACAAGTCGTCCCAGTCATCAATAGCAAGCTTTGAAGACATAGGTAAGACAAAGCATCCTAGCTTCCATTGCTTTGTTACTATGGATCAGTGTTTATCTAAAGTGCATATCACATGTGTTATTAACTCTACACTACCAGGAGATGGTAAAGACTTGGCCAATGGTGACCCAACGAGTCTCAGTAGTAGGAAATCTGCAGCAACTCGCATGGTGACCCGGCTGAGGAACCCAGAGAGCAAGTTGAGTCAGCTGAAAAATCAACAGGTGGCTGCTGCAGTTCATGAAGCAAACAAAGGCTTCAAGGAGGGCAAAGAGGTGAGGAAGTGGGGAATAAAATTCACAAATCTTACTGTTTTTTTTTTAAAAAAACGTTGGATGAATCACTAACATTTAAACACTTGACGACAAAAGCCAGCAGTGTTCAGTCTTCATTTGACATTCTTAGTCTCAGTTATGGAAATGTGAGAAATTAACATTTGCATATAGGCTAAGCTGATAACATTGTTCCTGTTGTATTTTGCTCTTTCCTAGGTTCTTGTGGTAAATGCACAAGGTGATGTCACTCGGATCAGCACCCGCAGCAGCAAGGAAGTGGTCATGAAGGGAACCAGTCAGTACTTCAAACTTGGCCAGGAGGGAAAGTTTCGTGTCTACCATAACCAGTACAGCTCCAATGCCCTGGCCCTTAACAAGCACCAGCACAGAGAGGTAAGTGAGGCTGCAGATGAAGTTCTGTTGCTTGTCCTTGTTTGTAATGTAACGGGCTAGACCTAAAATGGTAACTTAGCACTAACATCAGATGTTAATCATTGTTTCAACAGGACCATGACAAGCGACGGCATCTCTCACACAAGTTCTGCATGACACCTGCAGGAGAATTTAAGTGGAACGGGTCAATCCATGGCTCCAAGGTTTTGACCATTTCCACACTGAGATTCACTATCCTACAGTTGGAGAACAACGTTCCATCACCGTTTATGCATCCTAACTGGGCTTCACACAGGTATGTGATCGTAAAGTTTATGCATGCTTTTAATAACAAATTCACATACAGGGCTACCTGAACCTAATCTACGCCAGGGAATTTTAAATGTAACTTGTAATTTGTTATAGGACCAATTGGATCAAAGCAGTGCAGATGTGCAGCAAAGCCAGAGAGTTCGCATTGGCTCTGGCCATTCTGGAATGTGCCGTTAAACCTGTAGCAATGCTGCCTGTCTGGAAAGACTCACTTGGACATACCAGGTAAACATGTTGTTTTTTATATATATATATATATATATATGCCAAATGCCATTATCTGTAAATTCTCCTAAATCTGTTTTTGACGTTAGATATAATTTGTGACGTAGACTAAACTGTGTAGAGGATACATAGTTGATTTACAAATCCACTGACTGCCTTACTGAATGAAACCCATTCAAACACTCAAAGTTAGAAACTGACAGCAGGGTTGAATGCATCATGCACAGACCACGTGTGGTCAGGTTAGCAGGCAGAGGTGATCACAAGCAACTCAAATCAAGAGGCCCACCAAAGCTGTGAGGCATAATATTTAGACTACAAGTCCACCACCGTTGCCACCCACAGCTGCCTCTAATGCTGCTGCAACATCACAACACTGTTGAACTCTTTAAAAAGTGATTATTTAAGTTCTTCCGAGGTCAACCTGAGAGAGTGTTTGTGTGTGTAAAAGAAATGAGAACATCAAAGTCAAAGCCGGTCGTTGAACTTTAGAACGGCCATGTTTTCCTTCATGGTAATCGTCCAAAAGCAACTATTTTCTCACCTTTAATCAGTTGTTTGTCCGTACTTACTAAGGTTTACAGGTACTCAGGAGAGCCTCATACTGTAGTCGTGTTTTTAAAACATACCATGACATGTTTAGGTTAAATCGTATGACGTCCATGGAACGTGAGGAGAAGGAGAAGGTTAAAAAAAGGGAAAAGAAGCTGGAGGATGAAGAGACGATGCAGCAGGCCACTTGGGTCAAGTACACGTTCCCGATTAAACACCAGGTGGGTCTTTGTTCTACACTCGCTAAAGGAGTCTTTCTGAGTGGTCTACAAGTTGAACTCACTGTGTTTGGTAAACTAATACAAAAGTATCACAAGGTATTAAATGGTAGTAATATAGTATATAGTAATGGTATATATAGGGATGAGACTGTGTGTGTGTGTGTGGGGGGGGTATATGGACTTGTCATGTCCATGCATTAAATAGTAAACAATATGTTGATAAGATGTTTTTTTTCTTTATTCACAACTTTTTTTTGCTTCTTCAAATTGACTCTTTCTCTCTTGCACTGTGTCGTTCCTTGTTTCTCGTTCCTTCCGTTTTTTTAATGTGAAGGTGTGGAAGCAAAAAGGAGAAGAGTATCGTGTTACAGGCTACGGAGGCTGGAGTTGGATAAGTAAGACGTATGTGAAGCGGTTCGTTCCCAGGCTTCCCGGCAACACCAATGTCAATTACCGCAAAGAACTGGAAGGTCTGAAATGTGAATCTTTGGTGTCAGAAATCTCAATAATCAAATGGCTTTTAGTTAATTGGAATGTAGGTCTCTTTAATGTTCTCCCTATTTAACGTTTTATTTGGTATATCCCTGAGTGATTCACAGAATAATATGATTCTCTAATGACAAATTAGTTACCAATTTGACTCGTTTCTTTTTTTCTACAGATGCAAAACTTAACAAGAAATGCACCCTGCTGGACATAAGTCAACGACCCATTGAAGCTGCACCAGATACTCAGGGAACTGCTGCTTTAATTGGTGAAGCAAATAACCCAGATCCACACAGTTCTCCTAGAGCTACGCCAGAACATCTGAGGTCTGAGTGTGATGAAGAGATGAAAGAGGAGAAACAAGAAGAGGAGGTCAGCAAGGAAAAAGAAGAGGAATCCTTTGAGCAGTCACCGACTAGAATGGAAATGGATCAAACAGAATCACAATTGGTTGGCGAGCAAAGTATGGCGTCAGAGATTTGGACATTGTGTTTGGTTTAAATACATTTTTGTGTACATTTTGTAATTAATACCTGTTTTGTGTTTCTGTACAGAGTTTGTTATTCGGGAGGATAAGAATCCCCTGGAGATTGAAACTACAGAGAACTCAAAAAGAGCCTTCAACTATGACGTAGTTGACGTCAGCAATGGTTTTCTGACTCGCGTGGCCTATAAGAAGAAGGTGAAGACCTCCAAACTGGACGGCCTCTTGGAGCGCAGAGTAAAGCAGCATTCTATAGAAGAAACCCAGAGGCGACAGTTACCTGCTTCCAAACCCAGATCTCCTACAACAGTTTCATCCATTGTACCCGCTGTTATGAGCACCCCAGGCCAGCCACGTCCGTCACTCCATACGACACCGCTCACACTGGGTCACCCTGTTAAAGTAGAGGGGAACTCTCCCAAAGCAAATGTCTTGAAAAGTACTGACAATAATGTTACCCTCACGTCTTTTTCTCTGAACTCTGCACCCAGAGACAGTTGTACTACAGGTACACCTTGTGACTCATCTTCAGGACAGAGTTTAACCTCCTCAGTGTCCCGTGAACAGCAGGCAGATGTTGAAAGAACTACAGAGCAAAAAGAAAATAATTTACACCTTTTGGACCATGAGGTTGACCAACAGCTAAAAATAACAGAAACATCAGCACAGAACAGAACAGTCGATGTATCGTTTGATGCTACCAAGGCTGCGCACCTTCAAAACACAGATAGTGAAGTTCCCAGTTCGAAACAGGAGTCAATAAGGACATTTCCAAGTGTGCTTGACCATAAAAGTTGTGAAAAAAACTCCCCTTCTAAACCAGAGCCTTGTGTCCCTGTGCATGTATGCACTGAGGAAAATGGTACAGGGCCAAAGGAAAATCAAGAAAATGCCCATAATATTGAACCACATAAAAATAAGGCTATGATCACTCCAGAGACTCCTCAGGTAAATGGTAACAATGACTTTGAGGTTAAAGGCACCTTGAGTAACTCCGTCGTGGTCACAAATAATAGTAACGTCTCCAACAGTCCAAAGCCCAACATGAACAAAACTAACAATGATGGTCAAGGACAAGTGGACCTGTTGAAGGGCAGCGTGCAGCAAAAGCCTGTGGTTAATGGTGACTTACCACCTGTTCACAACTGTGCAGACGCTGCTGTCAATGAAAGTGTTGCATTGAAAGACACAACACCAAAATCAGATCAAGATGACAAACCTCAAGATATTAGCAAACTAAAAAACAACTTGGGTGCACTTAGAGTCGAAACATCGCAGCACAACAGCCAATCACCGTATCAGTCGACGGAAACCAGTTCCGTAGTAAAGATCATCAGAATGGCCCCGTCCCCTGTACCTTCGGCAGAGGAGTCCAGTCTGAGTGACGACTTTACGGAGAACAGTAACAGTGGGGTGACGGAACAACCCAAGACTATCACACAAGTTACCACCTCCACCACTACTACCACATCGGTCGTTTCCACCCAAATGAAGATACCCCCACCATCAAATGCGTGCAGAGTTGCAACAGTGACAGAATCCAGCTCGGTGTCCACCCTCACGACAATGACCAAAACAACTGTGACCAAAATATCGGAGCTCAATGGACAACCCGAAGACAACAAGAAGGAGACGGTGACACAAGAACAGGGGAGGCTGCACTTGTCTGTATGCAAGTCAACAGTCAACAATGTCACAACATCGGTATCATCTGTTACCATTTCCCAAGAAGACTTCTCATCGACAAAGGGACGCATCCGCTTACTTAAATTCTCACGCAACAAGAAGGCGCGCTCGAACACAGCTCTGCCCTCTTACTGCAAATTTGTCACCAAAAGCAAACGCACAAGTATTTTCGTACTTCAGCACGATGACCTGAAGGTGTTGGCGAGACGAGGTGGCTTCCGTGAGGTGGCAGTGTTTAGCTACAATTCCAAACCAGCCCCGGATATCTGGCCATACCCTTCACCCAGACCGTCATTTGGTATTGCATGGAGGTAAGAAATTAGTTTTCATTTTTTCTCTTTTAGGATTTGTAGAACTGTCGACAACTTTGGACTCAAAGAAATGTCTTTATATTTCAAAAAGGATTAATGAAGCTAAATTCTTTAAAGGTTTTTGCCCCCTCACAACCAACACTTGTGTTTCACATGCTGAACATCAGGGGCATGTTGCTCAAATACCCCACTACTTTCCGTCTGTGGTAACCACACAGTTTTAGGTTTCAGGAGATATGTTTGATATTTAACGTCATGAAGTGGAAAGTTAAAGATGGGACTATTACTCCTCAATTATTCACCTTGGTTTTGTCAGTCTTCCATGTCCTAGCGATTTGTCCATCTTTATGTCTTCTCCCTCCCTGTCTGACGTTCGCGGTCTTGGCCATGAGTGATGTTGTGGCTCTTAGTCGGCTGTCACAAAGGGACCTCTGGTTATTTTGACCGGACCTCAGATTTCCGAAGCAGACATGAATCATCCAGTGGTCAGAGCAGTGTCAGGATGTTCATTTTGTGCAGCGGCCCAACCCAGGGATGTTTTTCCCACCTGTGGTTACACAAGGGAAACGGAATATCAACCAAACCCCTTTCACTATAAACACAGTTATGAAAGGATCATGTTTATGAAGATGTTCAATATGCTATAATAGCTTTGGCCATAATGATGCGCAGATGGAACATTTCTTCTTAGATTAAACAAGGGATTCTGCCCATTGATCTATTACATCCTGCCGTCAGAGTCTACTCCCAATTTGTTACTCCCAGAGTTTGGGTTTTTAAAGATTCTATGCTCGATATCAAACAACGATAATAATAATTTTCTTTAAGATCAAGTTCATGTCTTGAAATAATCCAGGATTACATCCAGTTTCTTTAAAAAAAAAATTTTAAAGAAAAATTTTATTTATTTTATTTCTAACTCTAAATACTGGTCCCAGCTGCAGAGTGATTCACACAGTTACTGCTAAAACCAAACTACGTGACACTAGACAGAATCTTTAAAACATTTATTTTTCTTGTTCTCTATTTTCCAGCACAATGTACGAATCTTGCGTCTCTATTTTCCAGTGGAGCTGAATTTAGACCACAATGTTCAAAACAGCCGTGGGCAGAGGCACAGTGTTCTCTGGTTGTCCTGCGTACATCTCTGTGTTAGTTTAATTCTGAGAGGAAAGTTCAGTCCACTGAATCTATCACAAATTAGTATGATACTTTTAGTTATCTAACAAATGCTGTTGATTAGCACATACCAATTACTGCACTATTAAGGACAAAGTTATAGGCTATTGGTTATACACAGATTCTAAATGTCGTAAGCACAAGCTACTTTTTGAAACAAGCTAAAAGTCCTGAGCCTGTCAGTTCAAATCTTGTTCACGGAATCAAAATGTACTGAAATGAAAGATGTCAACATGATACCAGGTCAGTTAGGTATTATAAACTGTGTTGTGTTACAGATATCGTTTGCAGACGGTCAAGTCTCTGGCTGGTGTGAGTCTCATGCTGAGGCTCCTCTGGGCCTGTCTGAGGTGGGACGACATGGCCGTGAAACCTTCTGCTGCTGTTGGCACCACTCGCACAGGTAGAACGAAGTTGTTTTTTTTGTCAAACTCAGACATAATTTATTATCAGTGTGAAAGCATTGTGGATGGGGCATTATTTGTGAATCCTTAGGGGTCTTAATTGCCCCTAAGCTTTCTCTCCTGGTGACTGGACTTTTTTTTTTAATCTTTCTTCTCTGCAGCTTAAGATTTGTTAGCATCTCATTCAGATGAAGATTTTCTCCTTCTTATTACAACACCAACCCTGCGTTGTTCTCACTCATTTCTACAGAGACATCGGATACTGAAATCACCACTACAGAGATCATCAAGCGTCGTGATGTAGGACCTTACGGCATTCGCTCAGAGTACTGTATTCGGAAAATCATTTGTCCGCTTGGCGTTCCTGAGACTCCTAAAGGTAAGGCACTGTTGTATTTACGTTACATTTATATATTTATTTAAGTAGGCAGAAAATAATTGTGTAGTTTTACTTTACCAGTGTTTAGCCCTAATCCATTACCAAGACTGGTGTATACCTTGTGGCATTTAGAAAAGGACATTCAAAATACATGCATAGTAACCATTTAAAAATCTTTCAACACAGAAACCCACACACCTCAGAGGAAGGGGCTTCGCTCCAGTGCCCTGCGTCCAAAGAAGCCTGAGCCTGCCAAGCAAACAGGCCCAGTGGTGATTGAGACATGGGTACCTGAAGAGGAGCTGGACCTCTGGGAGATCAGAGCCTTTTCAGAAAGGTCAGTTGACCCAGGATTAAAATGTATTCATCCTTTTTTTTATTGGAAGGTATAATTCAAGTTATAATATTAAGACTGTTTTTTCATTAAGTACACTTGTAATGTTCTTAATGTTTTATTTTTTTCATTAACAAATTCTGAAGAAAGGAAAATCTAAATCAGATCAAAATTGATCTGATAGTCCTTTCCCTTTAAAACAGCACACATTCTTCTGGGTAAATTGCTTTTGAAGTAGCATGTTTCTAGACAAAATTAAATTAAAGTTGATATTTTAGATAAGAATTCTTCCTTTTCAATTTTATCATTCATTACAGACAAACATGAATTAAAACATGTTTTGTTTTTTTAAAAGTTTTTTTCTTAACCCTAACACAATTTTTTTTTTCCAAAAGGGTTGAGAAGGAGAAAGCTCAGGCGGCAGAGCAGGCGAAGGTATGTGCTGTATATTTTTTAAATAATGTCAAAATTAATAGATGTTCAAACTTGAGAGCAGCTTTCACTTGTTTCTGCTCTCACTTTTTGACAGCCTCAGTTTTTGAGACCAGATGGTTCTACTTCTTTCATTAATATTTCTATAACTTTATTAATTTTTGTTTCAGAAACGTCAGGAGCAGAAACCAACTTCAGGAACTTCATCTCAAACAGGAACACCTGCAACGTCTGCAGCTACACCCAAAGTGATTGTGGGTTCACTGTCGGGTCAGGGCACGCCCAACACTAAGGTGGTGCTGTCCACCAAGATGGGCACCCCTGTTACATTCCAACCAAACAAAAACTTCCAGCAGTCATTTGCCACGTGGGTGAAGCAGGGTCAAAGCACACAAGGTACTTGATGAAGTGTAATTTAATATTTGTTGGACAGGAACTTTATTACTATCTTTCGTAGATATTAAGTATTGCAATTACATTTTCGATGTTTGAATCATCAGGAGGAGGCAGCGAGGTAACATCAGGAGGACACACCCTCCAGATTACAGGAAAATCAGCGAGTGGTAAAATACTGACCACCAAACTGCCGCTGCCTGCCAACAGCAAAATCGTCACAGTGAACGTACCGACGTCACAGGGAGGTAGGACACATTTTCACACTTTTTGGTGCAAACAGAGGCCATCTGATTTTATGTTACCATTTCAAGGACACGGTCTTTCTTTGTTCTTCCTTTAACTTTGATCCACTTTGAGACTTGCCAAATATGTGAAAGATACTTAACGACATTCTGCAAATAAAATACTTGGCACTGAGTAAAACGATAACAGAGCTAGCCACTTGTTCAGTCCTGATTGATTGAGCATATTTTCTGTTTTTCACATTTTAATGTCTGTGACCACAAGCCCAAATACTTTATATTGTACAATTCCAAGCCAATGACATTTCTCAGTCCTGATCACCACTGTCATCAAGCCAAATTCTGCAGTGAGGATTTTTTTTTCATTAACTCCACATTAAACATAGAAACTATTTTCATTTCAAATAAAAGACCTGACCTTTTATTAACACACACAATTCACATTTAAAAATCAGCCACCAAGGTATTTTATCTTCAACAAAATTGTATTTGTAAAGCCTCCCTTTACTCCCTTGTTAGATGTTGAAGTAGTTTGGTTTAGATTTTGTTAGGAACACTCGTCAGGTCCTGTAGTTCTGGAGGCACGGGAACCTGCCAGGTAAAGACGGGACAATGAGAGAGAAGCAGGAGACAGACTAGTGGCAAAAGAGGAGATTCGGTTATTGTCATGACACTAATTCAGAGAAAAGGTGCACCATGGGAGTTCCTCCAGCAGTCTACCCCTTTAGCAGCATATCTGAGGGATAGTTATGCTGCTGTGACTAATGCAGCTGCTGCCTCAAATAGCATATTACCTTTAAAGTTTTTTTTTAGTATTCCAGGCAGCATCACTGACCATGTACTTTATCATTGACTTTACTGTTTGAATGTTCCTCTGTGTCATGCTTGAGTGAACATCAGAAGAAGCTTTTTTGGTGTCACAGGCCATAGTCATGGTCACGGTGCCACTGGCTTACACCCAGCCAACTGTCCTCTGTGTTCTTGACTAATGTGGCACAGTTGGGATCTCCAGCTACAGCTGTGGTGTCCTTTATGTGCCAACTTAATGAGTCAGCTTCTCAGTGTGGCGTATCACGTCTGGTGGTGTCTCTTGTGGCCCTGGTGTTTTCATGAAAAGCTGCTATTTGCAGTCGTTGGTCTTTTGGAAAGGTAACATGTGTAGTCTGAAGTTCTGAGCCCAGATGTCGGAGCAGGGTTGTCTACCTCTATTCTCAACTGTGTTTGTAGATGGCCTGGTATAGTGTTGGTCAAGTGTCACTGCATTCTGCTCAACACCTGGTGGTAGTGATCTAACAATGGCTAACTTTAGAACAGTTACATAGTTATGACTTATGCATAGTTTAAACATTGGGTATTTATGAATTAATTGTGCAATTTTTAAATTGAAAGCTGGCAGTGATGTGATGATTTAAAGGATGCGTTGGTTTTTAAAGGGATATTCTGTTAGAACTGTTAACATGTTATGATGTTACTGTTGAGTTTGGGTGTATATCCTAACAAAAGTACTAATTAGTATTTTTGTAATTCATTTTAAATGTTGAGTCAGAAGTTAAACCTAAGAATTGAATATATATGTATTGGTTCTGTTTATATTTGTGTATATTACATTACTTTTTTTTACAGCATCAAATGCTTTCTGTACAACCTAAAAATATTTTTTAACTAAACCTTGTATTTTTATGTATTATCCAAGAGTTAAAATTTAACATACATTTATCAGAAGAAGAAAGTAATATTTAACAAGTTTATGGAAAAAAAACCCCGTCTGACTTTACTTGCCTTTGAAGTAACGATGAAGGAGAAATTAGGTTGAGGTGGATCAGTCCATTTAATGGACATGTGTATTTATCCAGCATGACTGTTGGCAGCACTGTTTGTTTTGGAAGGGCTTAAGGAAGTAAGAGAGGAAAACAAGTTTACTCTGAGGTCTGCTTTTCAGACAGGTAGCTCTCTATAGTGGGATTTCATTTCTCTTTTTTTTTCCTTTCAGTTTTTTTTTTAATGTTTAACTCTGCAGTCCCCAGAGTCTCGACTCCACAACCTCTCCAAACAGCCAATCCATAGAAACAAGTGTTTGATCTGTGAGAGCAAAGCAGCTACTCCCCTGAACTCACCGCAGGGTTTAATGTCTCTGATTGAATAGGGAACACCTTGATGTATAGGTTTACCTGCTTGGTTGTGGTTAAAAAACCGCAGCACTGAGTCAGCACAAGGAGAAAGAGAAACTCTGTTGATTTCCATTTCTGCCATCAGCTACGCGTGAGCTAAGCCAGGCTCGATGCTTGGTGACTATGAAACGCCCCCTTAGTCAGACTGGTGTTTTAAAGTGGGATCTGAATTCATGCATAATTTATAAGAAGGTTCAGGTACTTTGGGGAAAACCAACTGAGCTTTCATGAAGCCTTTTGAAGATTGTGCCTACCTGCTCAACTAATATTTATTTTCACCATGATCAAAAGGCAGCCGTCTAACCGCCAGAGTACCGTATACTACAAATAATGTATTGAGTCATGTGATTAAAAGACCTCTGTATTACTACTAACCTGAAACATGCAGACTTGTATCAGGTTTAAAAAGATATTTTGATTTGAAATAGAAACGAATAGACAATATTTTTCCACGCCTTCATCTTATTACTTTTCATTCATGTTTCTGATAACTTTTTCCCCTCTTGTCTACAAAGGTGTGGTTCATCAAAAAGTTTTGGGTATCATCCCATCCAGCGCAGCAGGTGGTGCCCAGACCTACACCACATTCCAGCCCCGGACCACCACACTTAACATTAGGCCCAATACCACGGGCGCCCAGCAGCAGGTCAGTGGTCCGTCCCCAAGCCTTTTAACGCCAGTGACAGGGATTCTACAATAGTAAATGTTGATCAATGAAACCATTGCACATTTAAGATTTTATAAACTACTAACTTCCCCCTAACATTGACATTTAGTATTTAGTACACATCGATTTATCTGTTAATTAGAAAGTTCTGATCAGTTCAAAAGGTGAAAAACAGTCATATTGTTATCATTATTATTTGTCATGATTGAATCACACTAAAATTTTTGTTACAATATTCTTTTAGATTCTGACAACTAGCAGTCAGATCCGTCCGGGAATGACGGTCATCAGGACACCACTCCAGCAGACAGGAACCATAGGGAAGACCATACTACGGACACCCCTCGTGGTCCAGCAGGGTATTTACACAACACTTAACTTGGCCTTAAATTATAACACAGTTCAGCTTTATGAGAATCCACAGCACGTCAACCTTGTCACCTCCTTCTCTTTTACAGACCAAGGTGGTCAGCAGGTAGTGACACAAATCATTCAGGGTCAGGCAGTTTCCACACCGATGTCTGGTGCAAGCCCTGTTGCCACAGTTACAGGCCAGGGCATGAGCAGTCCCTCCACTGCAGAACAAGCAGCTAGCCAGATAGCAGCCAGTGCCCCACGTGTACAAGGGCAAAACCAGGTTAAACTGACTCTGGCACAGCTCACTCACCTCACACAGGTTGGTAAACACACACAAGCTCTTGTTATACAATATATATCAAATACAATATAAATCATAATCACAACTTCCTGCTCCTCTTGCTCTTACTCTGCTCCCTGTAGAAGCAGCAGTCTGGTCCAGGCACAGAGCAGCAGACTGGTGCCACCTGTACCCCACAGGCTGTAACTGTAATGGTTCAGGGTCAGGGCCAGACCGCCGGGCAACTACAGGTCATACCTCATGGAGTAACTGTCATCCCAGGACCTGGGCAGCAGTTAATGCAGGCCGCACTGCCCAATGGCCAGGTGCAACGTTTCCTGTTCACACCGTTGCCCTCTGCTGCCACACCCACATCAGGAATAGGTATGACCTCAAAATAACGTCCATAATCCTCCTCTGTTCTTCTTCTAACTTCTCCCTGTCTCTGATGTTCTTCTGTTGTCCAAACAGCCACCACAGCTTCCAGTCAGCCCAACTCCACCTCCACTAATACCCCAGCTCAACCTGTCCAACAAGCAGCAGCTCCCATCCAAGCAGGCGCACCTCCACTGACTACCACCACGAGCAGCCCATCCTCAGCCACCCCTCAGGCCCAGGTGCCACATCAGACGCAGGCCCAGATGCCCATCCAGTCGCCCACCTCACTGCAGGTCAAAACACAAGGAGGAGCGGCGCAGCTGCAGGTGCATCAGCCTCAGTCTCAGCTCATTAGTGTGACTGGACTACAGCAGCAGGTACAGAGAGAGAGAGAGAGACAGGGAAACACACTGAAATGAACTGACCTTTGTAACATTGATGTCACTGATGGAGGAGTTGCTCCATGAGAAATAACACTACTGACACACTGTTAAATCTAGGGGGACGAGTCACCTACATGTGTCATATATTTACAACTGTCTGGCCGTGAACTTATTCAGTTTGAGTGTTTAATTTAGTTGTTGTGTTGTTGATGTTTTGAACTTTTTAAGAATGTTAAAAACCCTGATTTCTCTTTCACATTCCATGTTTAATTGTCTGCGTAACAATTGCAGGTGTTAGCTCAGCTGCAGGCCCAGCAGGGTGGGGGCGCTCTGCCACAGCACATCAAACTGCAACTTCCAATCCAGATTCAGACGGCTGGGTCGTCTTCATCTCAGGGAGGACAGGTGAAGTGCATTGATTATAAATAAGTGTTGAAAGGTTGGAATAAGTCATGAAGTAGTTATCCTGGTAAAAAGCAAAATATTACAATTTAGTTGCTGTGGTTCTCATTGATTATGTCGACTGAACAGGTTGGGAACGTGGTGGCCGTGCAGGCAGTGTCTGTCCAGGAGCAGCTGCAGAGAATCCAGCAGCTCAGGGAGCAGCAACAGCAGAAGAAGAGACAGGCTGCAGAGGCCAAGAGGGAGCAAGCACTCAACACAGCTAGCCAGAGTGACATCATTCAGAAACAGGTGTGTATCTGAGTCTACATTGGTCAACAGGTCATCATCAGTGTCATTTACATCAAAACCTTCAACGTAAAAAGTAGCTTCACACTTATAGCTTTGCTCCACATTCATTTAGATTACTACAGAAAAACACTTTTTCTATTAACACCTTTGAATCGTCTCCTAAAATCCTCACATGTATTCTTCTTTTTATGAAGTTTTGTATTTTAAAATTCAATATTTTTGTCTTGTTTCATCTTTTTTTTAAGGTGGTGATGAAACAAAATGCTGCTATTGAGCACCTGAAGCAGAAGAAGACGATGACGCCTGCAGAGAGAGAAGAGAATCAGAGGTGTGTGTATTTATCTGTATCCACAGAGAAATCATGTTGTCATTTATACTAAAACTTAAAGGTCAATGGATTCATTTCATTTCATTTTGCACTTTTTATGTAGCTTCTGTCTGTCGGTTTTTTTTTTCCCATAACCCTTTATCCACGCAGTACTTTACATTTGACCTCACTTCCTTAATGAAGACAGTGTGGCCTCTGTTGTCTTCTCTCCTGTTCTTTTTTCTACAGGCTGCTATAACAATCTGTGCAAAACTTTACTACTTTTTTCACTTATGTTTTTATAAAGTAGTCATGGTCTGCAAAATTTCAGGGCTGATTGTTTGCTGTTGTGATTAGTGTGATGACAGGATGATGAATGAAACAAGCACAGCTCTGTCACTGCTTTCTTTATGATGTCCTTAAGTTTACTAGTAGTAATCTGTTCAGCTAGTAAACACACGTGTTTTTTCAGTTTAGTTTTGTCTTAGATGTTTCCAAACTATGCACAGTTAATTCTTAAATGTTTTTTTTTTTCCCCCAGGATGATTGTTTGCAACCAGGTGATGAAATTTATCCTCGACCGAATAGACAAGGATGAGAGGCAGGCCACAAAAAAAAGGAAAAAGGAGGAGGTGGTGGAGGCTAAAAGGAGGTTGGCTAATGCCAGCAAGCTCTCGACACTGCTGTATCGGCACAAAGAAAGCCTTAAGATGGAGATCCTGAAGAAGCGAGCGCTTCTCGACAAGGAGTTGCAGCTGGAGGCTCAGGTAAAGAGGAACCAGAGAAGAGATGCTTCTCAGTGGAAGCTTTCCTTTAGATTTTAAAATATTCCTCTTTGCTTATCCCGCTTTCCACATCATAGGAGGAGTTGAAACAGGATCTTCTGCGAATACGTAGAGAAAAAGAGCGGGCTCAGGCTGCTGCCCAACAGGCAGCACAGGTTGCAGCCAAGGCGGCTGACAACCAAAAGCACCACACACTGACAAAGGCACACGGCATTACGGCTCAGCATCATACGTCTGCAGCCGTCAGCTCGTCACACAAGAGGAAACGGGAAGAGGAGAAAGAGACGCCGACGCCGTCAAAGTCCAAGAAGAAGAAAATGATCTCGACAACGAGCACCAAGGAGAGCAAGAAGGACATCAAGCTCTACTGCATCTGCAAGACGCCCTACGATGAGACCAAGTATGACCAAAGTCATGAGAGTCTATTTTCTTTTCTCATTATTTCTGTTAATGCAGAAATGTCTTCCAAGGAGTTACATCCTGTGGCAATTAGACTGATTGAATAATGAATAATAATGAATATGTATATATGTCTTTTTTTTCTCTACAAACGTTTATTTTAACACAGTAGCACTAAGGAACAGATATTCCTACTGACCAGAATGAATGGAATAACAAATCAGTGTAATTTATCTCTCTTATCTTTAAGGCTGTACCTGGTCAAATGTGTTGTACATGAACTTTCTCTTTTCTCTTTAAAGGTTTTACATTGGTTGTGACCTCTGTACAAACTGGTATCACGGAGACTGTGTGGGCATCACAGAGAAGGAGGCCAAGAAAATGGACGACTACATCTGTGTGGAGTGTAAGAGAGGCCAGCAGGGCAGCACAGAGGAACTCTACTGCATCTGTCAGACTCCATATGATGAATCCCAGTGAGTCCCTGTGATCTGTGTGTGAATTAACAGGAGTAATCTGCTGCAGACTGACATGGATGCATGTGAAATAGAGTTGGAAACTGACATACAGTATATATCCAAACTACAGTTACAGGTGTTGTCTAATTGGTCTGTTGTTGTGCAGGTTGCACCCATTCATTTGTAATTTGACTGTCATTCCTGTCAAACAATGTTATCATTCAGCACCTGAACCACTGCAGAGCTCTAAGTCTCATTGCGATGACTTTGTATGGATTAATGCTCACTAACGTCTGTAATGGATTATCATATAAGTTGTCTTGTTAATGAAAAATCTAACGGTTAACTGTACATTTATGTAGCACTGGAGCTAAAGTCTGAACGTTTCGTGCTCCGCAGGTTCTACATCGGCTGTGATCGTTGTCAGAATTGGTACCACGGACGCTGTGTAGGTATTCTCCAGAGCGAAGCCAACCACATCGACGAGTATGTGTGTCCACAGTGCCAGTCCACGGAGGACGCAATGACCGTCTTCAGTCCACTCACAGACAAGGACTATGAGGGATTGAGGAGAGTCCTGCGTTCCTTACAGGTCAGATGAACCGTCAGCAGAGAGATACAGTGGTGGATGAATATTGACAAGTGGAATTTAGACCAATCTGCAGCGAACAATCTACCCTGGTACAGGTGTCTTACCTTTGCCTTTCTCTAACCGTTCTCTCTGCAGGCACATAAAATGGCCTGGCCGTTCCTGGAGCCCGTGGATACAAATGATGCCCCAGACTACTACAGGGTCATAAAGGAACCAATGGGTGAGTAGGAAATATGTGAGGAAGCTCAGGCGCTGTAGGTGTACTAACAGTAAATGAACTTTCTGAATTACAAATTTCTGAATCAACTGAATCAGTTTTGGCAACAGCGTCATACTTGATTTTTTTTTTACTGAAATAGTGTGACAGTTCTTATGGTTGTCAGTACAGTTCATTTGTGCAGCTGTTGCTAATTATTAAGTGTCGTTGGTGCTTCTGGTAAAAACTTGTTCTTTATCTGACTATGGCTGCTGTCTGTAGCCCTGTGTTTGCTCTCTGTAATGACACTTGGCTGTTGACACTGTCCTCAGGAATGTCAAATCTCCATTGCTCATCTGTGGAGCTCAGTGGATTGAAATGATGAATGACAACTCTTTTTAAAATCAGTCAATATTCAGGCCAGATTTACAGGCCCTCATTACTATAAGTATGACTCAAGGAGTCATACCCCTCATTACTATAAGTATGACTCAAGGCTGACATGAAGAGTCACTTTTTACTGGCAGCGACTGGCAGTGAAGGTTGTGAGGTTTTTCTTCATCTTCACGACTCTTCACCTTTAACCAGTCCTGTTTTCTTCAACGTTTTTTTTCTCAGATCTTTCCACCATGGAGGAGCGGGTACAGAAGCGCAAGTACACAAAGCTGACAGAGTTCGTAGCAGACATGACCAAAATATTTGACAACTGCCGCTACTACAACCCCAGTGACTCGCCTTTCTACCAATGTGCCGAGGTTCTGGAGAACTTCTTTGTCCAGAAGCTCAAAGGCTTCAAAGCCAGCAGGTAAGATGTTGGTGATGACAGAAATGTGTTAAAAAGTTTAATCTGTTCAACGACGTCATTTCCACAGCCCTAATAAAAACAAAATAGTTTCATGGTGTTTATGCTGCACTTTCATGACTTTTCATGTTCATGGTTGGATGTCTTGTGTTTTCTTGTGCCTTAAGCTAACATGTGCTTCCTCTACATATATTTCTCCCACCCTCCAACCCCGACCCTGTCTCTCCCCTGTTTTGCTGTGTCTTACAGATTGTGAAGTCATGCTCCGGATACCGGGGTCACTGTTAAAGCAGACATTATTATTTTTAAAAAATCCTCAACACAGCTGTTTGTTCCTTTAAAACAGCAATAAATATTGTACAAAAATGTGTTTTTAAATTAGTAAATGGAAAACAATTTACTGTCTGACAATGGCAGCCATGCTGGTTAAACATCAACTCATTGGAAACGTGTATTTTCTTACACTTGTTGCAACAGATGACTGATATTTTGTTGATGTCTGAGTTGAATATGAAACAAAGTAGTTTGATATTCTCCTTCTTGTGATAAGTTTTACAATAAAACACTTTTATTGTAACATTTAAGTCACCAGACAACTTCTCTTTTTATTCTTCTCTTTATTGTATCGGTCACATTGTACTGCCACAGAACATTTTTACCTCATTTTTTTAGCCAAGGAGTTTAAAAAAAAGGACATGCCACCTGTGTACATTTGATTTTACCGACTGTTCCACTGTAGAGGATTATTTGTGCTTCTCTGTCCTGTTTCTGAAGGACCAGTTTTTAAAGAAAATAATAGTAGGACCTGTAAAAACAGATTGGAGTCCATTTATAGTAAGCTTGTCTGATGTAAACATGACTATTACCTTAGTATAAACACTGGTCGGCCTAAAAGGTAAACCTTTGATTTCACCACCATGGCTGCCTGGTTGTTGTCTGAGCATCTGACCCCACCGGCATCCAGTAGCTGTTTTTGTTTTTCTGTGATTCATCAGTGCATATTTTTGTAATATTGTAAAGCTTTTAATAAAAAACAAAATGGAGATGGAAATGTTCCAACTGTTTGTTCCTCTCTTCTTTGCCTCTCTGTAGGTCTCATAGCAACAAACTGCAGTCAGCAACCTCTTAGCTCCTTCCTAAAAACCAAGTGTACGAAATCCAAGACTTGTGGTTCCATCTGAAAGATTAATACCTGAGGGCCTGCGCAGGCTGCACCTGAAGCTGAGCCCTCTCCAGAGCAGAGCGCACTCCCAGCTGAAGGTCAGGTGGCAGTGGTGTCAAGAGCCTTCAACATCTGTAGTTGCAGTAAAAAAAGGTAATGAAGAGGATGTAAAGACAGTTTTTTTATCCAAAGCATCAGAGACGGAGAAGTTCCTTCTTCAGGCGACCACAGACTTTGAGGCTGTATGTTTTGTCGCAGCCGGCTGGTCGACATCTACCAGTGAGAAAACAGGTTCAGATTTGGAGGATTCTTCCTGGCTGTTATTAGATGGTGCAGTGTTTTCCCTCTGTAGCTGATCCCTATTCAGCAGATGTTGTCTTCTTACTTCACGTCTCAAATTCAGGAGTAGTTAAAGTCTGTGTTCATACTTGTTTGGCTTGGTTCAAATAAACCCCGATATGTTTGGTCTGTAACTGGGGTTCACTGGAACGGACTGATCAGTAAGACTCTGTTGATGAGTTCGTGGAAAACCTGTTAAATACCATCAAAACAAACTGTTAAAGTCACAAATTCACGGAGCCCTGGAGTCAATGTGTGACAGAAGAAGAACTCTGAATAAACTGAGTAATGCTTTCAACTAAAACTTTTTTTAATTTCCGGAAAAAGAAGTATACGAGAGGTCCTTGGTTTACAATGTCCTTGTCCTATGGTGTTTCGTGGTTACGTCGCCATCGCCCACACATTTATTAAGAAAGTCTTGTTCCATCATTTCGACGTACAGAGTTAAAACTAATTTTACATGGGAACTAGTTGGGGAATGAGGCAAACGAACACGTCGTCACACCACACTACACGTGGAAGACGGCTTTGTTTACGTTTGCTTTTGGACGCCATGCATTGGTTTGTGCTACATCCGCTTTCTTTGTTTTGTTTTTTGGGAGGAGATTTTTGCCCTTCATTATGGCTCCCAGGTGTGAGCCAGACACTTCTTATGTTTTTATGTCGTCTTAGATGGTGATGTTACCACCGTGATAGCTACAGTATGTCGGAAACTTACGAACATCGACGTTAGTCAAGGACCCTCTGTAGTTATTTTTCCAAAGGTTCACTGTACTTTTGCAAAGTTATGTATTTCCAAAATTATGTGTTTTTTTCCCTGTCCTTATTTTCACCTCCAGGGCTCCTCCCAATAAGTCACCTCAAATAAATCATGCTGTGATCTTGTGAGATGTTCTAAAAACAGAGAACAGAGGAGCAGATTTTCTTAATAGGTTAAAATGAGAACATTAAGACAGCAGGAAGAAAAAAAGGAGTGTCCAGTTGGATTTTGATTGATTTTGATTTCTTGTGCACTGGTCTTTGGTTCCGTGTTAAAAATACATGCATGTGTCACTACAGATGTTAATACCACCACGGTGTGAAGTGTCTTCAGCAGTAAAGATGTGCCACACTCACGTTTGTATATTGTAACCACAGCTGGTGTACAAACAGGATCTGATGAAGAGAATCTGTCGGTCTTCATCTTCAGTCTCCTACCTCCCAGTTTTTAAGTCCACTAAATTCAGGAGCTCTGGGCAGATTTGACTTTTTTTTTTTAATGTGATGTTGCTGCTTCAGATGATCAATATGACAAGTTACTGAGTTGTCAGGGTTAGAAAAGCTGGTTCGATAAACTCACAGTTAGGGGTGTATTTAATACTGCTTCTTAAATGGGTGTGGACAGCAGAGGTTACATGAAATTTTAATGTGTCTTGATTTTGTAGTGTCTTCATTACCTACACACCCAAAACCAGCCGTCTCAGCCAGTGAACCTTGTCCTTTGGCTTTTTTTAAGATGCCATTGAAGAAAGTCAGGTAGCTGTGAGCACTTTTACATTTGGATTTATCTGTTAATGAAAAGATTGTTAGAGCGTCTGAAAAAAGAAAGACAGTGTCTCCCTCTCTGTCCCTGCCAGCACATTTCACCGAAGACGACAGTGTGGCTCACACATACTTTTTGATTCCCCCTCAAAACCATGGCTAAGTAATTGGATAATGGACCTTTCCTCTCAGCAGCAGCTCAGTTAAATGGTGGTTTGTGGCAGCGTGTCTGAAAGTCAATTAGGCTGGTTTTTTTCCATCATGGGGTTTGTATGAAACTTTTATAATTACATTTGTAGCATATTTGGGAACATTTTTGTATGTGTGTTAATAATGTTTCTAAGCAAGCGAACATTAGACACTTGACTTTCATGTTCAAAACTGTTTGAAATTCAGAAAAGGTTTCAGTCTATTGTTTTTCCTTTGTATGTTTGAGAGTTGAGAGATAATGTAGTGTTTCTTATTCTCTGTGTGCTTCAGTCACAAATGTCTGTCACTTTGTGATCTAATCATGTGTTTTATCCACTGTTTCTAAAGTCTCATGTAAATTATTGTTGTCCAAATGTGTAGATATTTAAAATTTTTAGAAAACTATACACATTTATTTTTAACTTTTGGAACCAGGAACTAAGCCCATCTGTACATATTACCTTTTTTTAAAAGATAATAAAAAAATAAAGTGAACTCTTACTTGTATGTTGCTGTTGCATTTATTTACTTTTTTTCTTAGTTTCGTCAGTGTAGCAGTGACAGCAGAACGACAAAATACTCTTCCACTAGGTGGCTGCAGATGAGTATAAAACCTGGCAAAGGAGATAACATTTAATATCTTAATACCACAATGGGGAAATCCACAGTGGGGGTCTTTGCAACCCACACAGGCTGCCACAGGAGGCGCTATTAAGTATGTGGTTCCTCTATGGATCAAACCCAGGAACCTGGTGTAAAGCAGGAGTGATAACTGCTACGCTATGGAACCACTAAACCAATGGGCTGCTAATGGTGCCAACAAGGCTAATAAAAAATATAGATAGATAAATAAATTATAAAAATATTGAGATATCATTGGGCTACCGAAGATGATCTTAATGTGTGCCTTTATTCAATTCCTGGTAGTGTTCAACCAAAGAGGCCCAGGTTTCACACTAAGTAATGTAAGTAAATAATGAATAAACTAGAAAATGTATTTCATTACATATACTTTCTGGGATATTATTGTTTGGTGGTACGTGCTGCGATTTTTATAACATAAAATATGTGCAGACGGTTAGGACGTTTTGAGATAATTTAATCATCAAGGGTCCTTGAGAATTATCAAAAAAAAAAAAAAAAAGTTGAATAAAATACCCATTTCCGTGACCACACAACTTCAGGTTCATACCATCAAATATCTAGTGTGTTCTATCTAGTGTGACTTTCTGATTCTTAGATGGGAAAACTTCTTCAGGAAGTGTTTTTTACGAATCCCTAGAGAATATCTATCACAACAATTTAAAAATATACTTGTTTTTTTAAAACCTTACTTTATTTACTTTTGCAAACAGACACAAATTTCCGCTTTTCTGGGTCAGGGCCACATATGGCTGTCGGGTCCAGCAGCTCTGCTGGGAGAGGATCCTGGGGGCGTTCACAGGCCGACCGTCTAATAGATGGAAATACTGAGCACGGGAACCGCTTGTATGGGAGATCGTGTACTTCTGTTCATGACCAACGGATCCATCTGCCGTTCCAATTTTCATCTGATTTGTTAACGACACACCAAAGTAATTCATCATGTCTCCCACCACCTCTGGGACAAATGAGGCAGCAGTTGAAGGCTAAACTGACAGGGCCCAGAGCAGACCCTCAGCCTCACTGTTCGTTGATACAGTAATTCAAACCATGGAACTGGTTTAAGAAATAATTTATCTCTCCGGTATGTGGGTCAAATGGTTAGCATTTAAGGTGTAACGTGAAAAAAAATAATTGCACAAACAGAACCCGGTTGGGGAAAAAAAGTTTATGCTCATGTTAAAGAAATTCACACTGTGTACAACAAAGCTGACAACATTTTCAAAAGTATTATTTGAAGGCTATAAAGAGGTTAGAAGTACAGAAACTGGGGTGGACATAAAGTGTCCAAATTCATTGACTGAACCAACCGCTGGGCTGTGCGTCATTTAGTGTTTGGCATAAATAAAAAAAAAACAAATGTATTATTACTGGTTTTTCAGTGCAAAAAGAGCGATAATTCTTGAATTCTCTCCCCGACACCACACACAAGCTTCGTAACACATGCTGGTCAAAATGGAAATACTCCCAGACCTTGTTTAAAATGATTCATCAAAATAAAAGAAAGTTGTTTTTACAATGTTATACAGTGCTATAAATATCATTATATTGTTGTAAAAAAAGGTTTGTGACCTCTGACCTACATTTCCATACCTTTCTGACACAGCAGTAATATGGCAGGAATTTTCTTGAACAAATTACACTGAATGTTGCTGTGGATTTGGGTGGAGGAGGTGGAGACGTGTGTGTGTTACTGAATCCTACGCACTGTGTGGACGGAGATAAAAGTGAGTCCAGGTCTGAAACACGCTCCTGTCTGTTCAACCCTTGGAGGTTTTTCACCACTGAAGGACGAGGTCACGAGCCCTGATTCTAACTGGTACAAATTCCTCTGTTCGAGTTAGCAACATGACACAGGAGAACACCTCTGAGCTTGACCTTTGACTTCCACACACCCATCTCCTCCTGCTCCCCCTCCTCCTCCTCCTCACTCCCTCAAACCACTAACTGAATCCAGAGGATCAGCACCACAGATGATGATTTCCCCCAAAGTGGTTTCTCCACTGCGTGTGTGTGCGGCTACAGTATGTTTCCCCACTTCTTCTCACACTTATCTACTGCCTTGGTGGCTGTGATGGAAGACATAACTTAAAGATAAGACCACCTCTTCATCCTGCCTCCACTCCTTCTTTCTCCCCCTCCACCCTTCTCCTCCTTCTGGTCTTCATACTCCAGAAAGAGGAATGTCCTCCTGCTGCGATGTGGAGCACGCTCCCATTTCCTGTCCGCTTGAATCGGTTCCCCACAGCACTTATTTCAGAGAAAGACCCTAATGTGGCCTGGGAACGTATCAGCTCTCCGAGCCGAGTGTCAGGGCAGCAAGAAGTGGGGATGAAACTTAGATCTTTGTTTACGAACACAGGTAGAGTTGGTCACAACAGAGATTTCTACTGAGGGTAAAAAAAAAGATAAAAGAAATAAATAATATATTGGTTTTGGTAAAAAAAAAAAAAAGAAAGGAAAAATAATAAAATTAAACAAAAAACAGATCCAAAATCCTCTCTCCTCAGCCACACCTCATTCCCTTGTAGAAAACCAAATTCATGCCTGCCCTATCTGCCCCCGCCTGACAATTCCCCAGATCCTGTCCAAATATTTTATGTACAACTTCTGAGCTCTGGCCCCGAATTAGTGTGTGATTAAGTGTAAACAGGTTAAAAAGAGTAACCCCAGAAAGGACGCTCTGGTGGAGGGTCCACTCCCGTGGAGGTCCACTCCCGTGGAGGTCCACTCTGGTGTTGTGTCCAGGTGCAGCCAGGATCACATTCCTGTGATTAAACTGCAACATTCCCTACAACAATGCACTTCTTCCTCGATCAGGGAAAGCCTTGTTCGAGGGAAAATATTTTGTCACTGACGCAAAATTAAAGTCAGAAAAATTCAATGGAGCTGCATGACTAGCAAATGTCATGTGCCCCCCGCCCCCCCTCGCCTCCTTTCCTCGTTTACTGCGACAGCGGTGCATTTCCTGCGCAGCAATAACAACCACAGGAACTAAACACACGCGGGACTGGCCTTAAACAACTGTACTAGCCAGTACTATTTATGAAGAAGAAGCATCATGAAGTTAATACAGTTCTCAACAAGTGTATTATAGAATAAGGAGATCAAAGGAACCAATACGATGTGATACTGATGTTGTTTCCGGGGGTTTAAAAAAAAATCAAAGGTTAAACACAAAGAGGTCAGAAATACTTCTCTTATGGTACAAACTAATACGATGTATCTCAGTCTTTCAACTTTTGCCCTCACATTGAGATGTACCATAGTAGCCCATAGAGGGCTCCACTCTCCATATGGACAGATGAGGATCAGTTCAGGTGACCTGCAACGTCCTTCTCCCTGTACACGGGGTGAAAGCCTCCCGGTGTTTGATTCACCTACACTTGGAGCGGATGGCGTCCAGGGTTTTTTGATGTCTCCGTTTGTTGAACCTCTTGACATAATTGTTGCTTCGTAGAAGGCCGTCTCCTGGCTTCAGTTTACCCCCCAGCAGGTTCAGGAGGTCACCGGGGAGGTGACGTCTGCGGTGGTAGATCTGCCCCATCACTATGTATCTGGTCCCTTAAAAGGAGCAGCAGAAAAAGACGGCTCCAGTTAATGTGATGCATGAAGTGGAAAAAAAAAAAGCTGTCCCAGGATTTTCCAGCTAATAGGGATGTTAGCATAATTATGTCATAGCTTTAAGAATCGTTATCGGTTTTACCTCCGATAATGAAAACCCGATGATGCAATGCTTCTGTTTGGCCAAATTTTAGTTTACTGCAGTTTTGGGGGGAAACTTTGCAAATATCGGTATCTGTTGATAACGGAATCGGAAATTAAGTGCTTGGACAATATCGGACATCGCTAACTATTATTATATTTTAGCGAAATTTCTAGCTCAGAATGTGTTTGAATATTTTATTAAAAATATATATAAAATTATATTTTGTGATGCATAACATCCTTGGGAAGATTCTTTTCTTCTGTTCTGCTGTTTTACAGATTTTGTTTCTGTGTCTCCGTCAGCAGCACTCAGTAGAGTTAGACTCAGTAGTTAGCAACAAGTGATATAAAATTTAAGTTGTATCTTTTGCGACATTCTTTTTATCATGGTTAACTGTTTTACCCCGGGGTATTTTTAAAGACAGTTGATAAACCAGGAGGCAGCAACAGCCCAGCAGCTCCTGTTTCCTTCTCTGCTATGATTCACCCCCCAGTTCCATTGTTAATCTGGTTATTTTGTCATTTAATCAGTTCAAGATAAAGCAAAGACCTGGTCTTGGTGATATTATCTTAACAAACAGACACACCTCAGAGCTGTACACCAGCGCCACACTTACCCAGCTTCACATCAGGACAGGCTTTACTGCACTTGTACGTGTCCAGCACAAGAAGACGAACTTTAAAAAAGAAACTGTCCGGGGTGGTGTAGAGTCGGCTCATCTTGTAGAAGCTGTCGCTGCTCACCATCATTGTGATGAGCCAAATTCCTTTCCGCAGCACTTCGATGTCATGGACTACGCCGTTGATGGCTGTTGAAGAAACGTGATGAAAACATGACATTTCTGTGGTTACAGGAGCAGCCTGGTATTTTTATTTTAAAACCTTGAAAATTGAACTTTTTTTTATTTTAATAAATATTTATTCTCCAAATTCGGAATGCTAACCAATAAAGCCAGAGCCTGGATACATACCAAACTCACTGTGACAGTAATATTCTCTCTCCTCCTTCTCCTTTCTGCACTCGCTCATGCAGAAGGCGTCATGTGTGAAGTCAGACTCTGCAGAGATGACGGGTAGAAATTGACAAAAAGTGTGAGAACCACTGGTCTAACACAAGACTTTTAAGGGTGCTTTTTGTATACTGTATGAAAAACAGAACAGTATGTTATGGAACATAATTCAATAATGTCCGATAATATCAGCTGATCAATATTATCGGTCCAATATTAGCATAATTATGATATATCTGTAAAAACTGTTATTGAATTTTTATTGAATGAAAACCCGATAACGCAATGCCTGTTTTTTGTCAAATGATGCGTGTCCTAAAAATAGTTTTGGGGAGAATCGGCTGTATATAAAAGTGGATGGCACTAGATGGCAGTATTGCAGCTCATTTAATTAATCTATTTTAATAATCAGGGGATTTTATGCATAATGCTGGTGCCAGCAACTCTTACAGTGGTTTGTACAGATAAACTATTATTACTAAGTCTTTTTCAGTATCAGTTGATATTAGAATTGGAAATTAAGCGTTTGGACAATATCGGCAGAAACTTCACACTCTTTTAGTCTTTTCTTTATCAGTCTTTTCTATAAAATTACTAGCAGTAATTGTTCAGATTCCAAATGATCATATATTTACCTGAACTCTTACATGCTTTTTTTCTAATTACAACTACTAGAAAAATTAGAAGTCAGGGTACAAAGAATCCTCCGTTACCTCGCCTCAGGAGGTCATACTGGTGGAGCAGACTGGAGGAGTGTCGGTTGAAGACCACAGGCGGTCGACTGTGGTTCCTGGCCGAGGCACTGATAGCTGGCTGGTAGAGGCTGGACTTCCTAGGTCGGTTCTCCTCGGGGTCCAGTCGTCGAACGGTGTGGTCTCTCCGCACAGGAGAAGCAGATTGAGGTGGCTGAGCCTGTGGCTGTGTCTGGGCTGGACCCCGTGACCTGGAGTTGAGGTGTCCCTCTGGCTCACTCTGCTGAGGTGGACTACCGTTAGACTGGCTGTCCTGGTTGCTTTTCAGCACGGTGCGGTTGGAGGTGCCAGTTGTACTTCCTGTCACAGGCATTTTGGAAACTGGTCCAGTGTTTTCAACTCTGGTCTTCTCACTGTTGTGCTCCACAAGACGGTCACTCTTGGGACCCTTCTTGCTCTTGTTGTGGGGAGAATGGTGGCGAGGAATCAGGTCCAGGTCACTGTGCTTTGGCCACACTGCTGGTGGCAGAGGATGGAGGGCCAGTTTGGAGTCACTGGGCTTGATGCTCTTCTCCAAAAGCTCATTGATGGGAAGGTTTGTCTCTTTGACCTGTAATCTGGTCTGGTTGGTTTCCAGGAAGCTGCTCTGACTCTTCTCCATCAGAGGGTACAGATCTGGGATTCAACAGAGGCACAAACACAATCACCTTACACAGTTTGATAAAGTATGAGACACTACTGCATTTACTTTACTTTTTCTATTTTATAAAAGCCAATTTGTTGGCAAAAGTTAAAAAATATATATTTTTATTTATTTATTTTACAAAACTATAATTTCAAGGATCTGACAAGAGACTTTTATTTTATTCAAAAAGTTCTGTGTCTACATTGTTATTTGGTTAATCATTTATATTCATATTTCATCATAGAAAAATCAGGACATTTGTTAACATTAAATACTTACTAAAGCCCCAATACAATTTGTTATTAAAAATGATAAAACATAACTGATTCTTCTAAATAGAATGCTTCAATACAAAAGAAATAAAAGTCTATAAATAAAAAAGTATATGTTTAAAGCAACTAATAAACTAGATAAAACACAGTAGCCAGTAACTCATATTGTTTCATGTCTATTCTCATCTCACAATGATATTATATCAATTATCAAATGCAGGACTAAATGTGTAAGGCATCGAAGCAGAAATGTAAAAAAATAAAATAAAATATCCAAGAAAATAAAACTGTCCTGAGTAAATTAATGTAAGTTCACACTCACCATTGACAACATGCTCTTCCGCAAGGTAAAGGGGAAACAACAGAAAACAGAGAGACAGAGTAATACCTGCCATCCTGGGTCTTCACCGCTGACACACTCTAATGTCTGCTCGGTGCAGGGATTCCTGGGATTTTTATACGTTCTCTCTCTGCTATTCAGGAGAGGGGGAGGTGGTGGGACGTCCCACCGCTGCTGCACCACAGTCATTTCATTCATAAATGGCTGTTTCCAGTAAGAGAGAGGAAATGCCCCTCTGTGTGTGTGCGCGCGCGCGTGTCTGCCTAAGTGAAATCGGACTCACTTTAACGAATAAAAATAATACTTAGCATTTTATGTTTTGGTAAACATAGAAGGTAAGTTTAGCCACTGTGATCTAACTGGAGTGGTAAGGTGGCTGGATTTAGATAAGTTTGTCTTTAATGACCTCTAGCGGTGAAGAATTAAATCGCAAAATGACAATGTTTTTTGAGTAGTGTAACCCAATTTGAGAACCGTATGTCTTTGCATTCAGGAAGGAGGTTATCACACAAAATACCGACATCATACTTACGTCTAAAAATCCCACATAAACCTCTTAAAATACGATTTCAAACAAGTTGCCAATTTTCCAAAGATTTTCTTTGGGAAGTTTTAAATTAACTTTGCTTGGTTAAGGGTCGTTTCATATGATATACTGAAATATTTCAAATGCACGTCTTCCTGCCACGTCTTTGCCACCTTAAGAAACTGTTAATAGATCTGCCACCGCTCCTAACCATTTCATTCATTAGTGTGTGGAGCGTTAGGTAAACCAATCGATTAGTTCCATCATGTTCTGGACTTCTGGTGATATTTCTGTATACTTTTGGACACAGACAACTTTTGGCGCCATCTGCTGGAGGGGCGATGTTGAAACCCCTTGAATAAGGACTTGACAACTCAAAAATAAAAACAGTACAGTCGTTGGTTGCAGCTCCTCCTGCTACCCTTCCTTCCTTCCTCTGTTTTAATTATATTATTTTGAACTTGCGTTTGAACGAAGTATATATTGTAGGAACAATTAGAACTTAATATTTTCTCCAGAACCGGAACAAGAACACTGTTTTTATTAATGTTACTTTAGTTAATAGACATTTGTGTTATTTTATTTTATTGTGTTTTTGTTTGTGTGTTCGTTTTAAAGGACTGTCATATGGCCATTTCCGATTAAGGTGTGGCGGGCGCGGGGAGGCTGCGTCCTCGTTGATGGGCGCGCACTTGGCGGGGAAACCGGAATCACAGTGACTCTGCTTCTGGTAATAGTTCTGTGGACTTCTGGTTATTGTTATCATTTTAAGTATACAATGGAATATTGTGTTATTGAGAGAAACAGCAAATGGATGAAGAAAACACTTCTTGTGTTATAAATGTGTGAAATATAAACCACCATTTAATGCTACGACATTAGAACGTATTTAACAGAATGAGTTTGAAAAGAGGAGGAAAGCAGAATTACAGGCAAATGTGTATGAAAATCTAAAAAACAAAAAGGTAAGAAATACGACCCAGATGGGACTCGAACCCACAATCCCCAGCTCCGGAGGCTGATGCCTTATCCATTAGGCCACTGGGTCATTGCGTCACAGTACGATTAAAAGATGATACATATCCAAGAAATAATACCAAAAATGAAGTTTGTGTCTATTTATAAAATGTTTAAAAAGCCATTTGCACGCAAATACTAAAACTCTTTAGCTCTCGTTACTGATTACGACTTGCTGTTTGTGTATTTTATTTATTGAATGATTTATTTGAACAGGGCAACATGCAGCAAACATTGCCGTTGTTCAACATTACTCGCCTGTTTGGTCCGTTTGTAATTCTCTATATTTAGAGGGCTGACAGTGGTGGAGCCGAGGAGGTAAGCTGAGGTAGCTAAACAATAAACTCGGCAGGTGCTTCCGAGTGATTCTTTATGAGGTAAGAGATTAACGTGCTATTACCACATGTGACCAGCAGAAGTGCAACTTCCGGTAAGCGGATAAAAACAAACAAACGAGAGACGTGTTTTAATGCAATATTAATGCAAAAGTTGTAGTGCTAGCTTGTGATTTACAAGACGGTGAGTCGTCAAGTTTTAAAGTACACATATTTCGCAAATGCTTTGTACTAATTGCAAAGCGCACCGAACAGGAAAACTGGTTAGCCACGCGAGCCACTAGCCACTATTGGTTGTTAGGCCTGACGGCAGGGTTTCATGGGGTCATGAAACGCGCAAATGCCGCTTAAAAATTTAATTACGCAATTTGTTGAAATCCAGGCACTGTTTTACTAGGTTTTCATTATCAAAAGAAATATTTATAGATACCGATATTACATTAATATGCTTATTTTTGGCAGGTGTTATTCACCCGATTAATGTAATTGTGGATTACTAATTTTGAGGCACTTTATATTATATTTTTATGTTTTATTTTATATGTGCCTTTTTTCGCAAAAGAAAAAAAATCATAATTTTCAACAAAAAATAGTTTTTGACGTCCCAAGATATGACCTGTTTCCATTAAGAACAAATTATACACCTGCTGCTTAGAACTAATTATACAGTGTATATATATGGTCGGTGGGTGGCCATGGGAGCAAGGAGAACGTTTTAAGATAATTCTAAAACGCAAATCTAGCATAAAATAAATGGGTTTAACGCTTTTGATGGTGTAGGACATATTAAACTAAATAAATGGTTTATTTCTGGAAGCTGTTCCGCACGATTCTCTTTGGTGACATCTGGTGGCCAAGAGCAGCTTTAACGTATCACTTGAAAATCGATGCTTCATTGTGGATGCCTACTCCAGTGTTTTTTTTTCTTGACAAATGCGCGACGGCTTCAGCTTCAAACTGATTATCAGTACCAAAAAAATGGAACTCGAATGAGAATTGAATAATTTGTTTCAGAATGACCTCTGCAGAATTAGTAAAAGTTTGTCAAAAGGAATCACAGGAAAAACATGAAAGGACAACATTGGTGTTTTCTTCGAAATGAGTAAAATCATTTAGAATTTAGAAATAAATCTGTGACACAAGTAATTTTTCCCTAGAGTGACTGCCTGCCATAATGTTGTCAAGAATGTCAGCTCACAGCAACATCGCAGATCGAATCGCAAACTTCAAAAATAATGGAAAAGATAGCACTGTGAGTCCTGTTATTACTTATAGACACAGGTACGTGATGTATGGTTTGCAAAAGTACTAATAAAAATATGTTGAAACTTTAGGAGATGAGGCGTAGGAGATCGAAAGTTGTTGTAGACCTCAGGAAAGCGAGGAAGGATGATCAGATCTTGAAGAGGCGAAATGGCTGCAGTCACATGGAAGAGTCAATCTGTGCACTACAAGACGGGGATCTTATTGAAGAGGTATTTAGCAGCTAAGTTCACTGTGCTCTGCTGCTATAGTTACCAATCACCATGCATTCTACAATGAAGCTATGAGTGTAACAGTTAATACCAGTGAGGAATCATGTTGAAGTTCTAACAGCCTTTTTACTTAGCTTGTGACCATACAGGTATCTATCTCCACCTATGTGTCTTCAGCACTGGTGTCTGGAGGAGATTGAAGCACAAATAAAGAGCCTGAACCCATATATTCAGCTGCAGGCCATGCAGGTAGTCAGGTAAATTATTTTTGAAATGCATTGAACTTCACTAATTTTTTTTTTTCACTGTGATTAACTCTCCAGTAGCTTTAAATCCAGTATCAGAAATCAATAAACCCCTGTGTCTGATTTGACCTCTTTTTCTCAAAGTGGAACACAAAGCAAAATTGTTCCAAACTTGTAACTTACCCATCAGGGAAATATATATTGAAACATTTTTGGATAGTCCCATATCACAGGTTTTTAATGTGAAAAATTAACCAATCATTTGTGTTGCTTTTTTCCCTTGATGAATAGAAAGGTGCTCTCCGTAGCATCAGATCCACCTGTTTATAGCATGGTCACTGCTGGCTTCATTCCCAGATTTGTGGGTTTTCTGGAACAGTCCAAGTGTCCCTCTCTCCAGTTTGAAGCAGCTTGGGTCCTGACCAACATTGCTTCAAGTTCCTCATTTTATACTGATGTTGTCGTAGGAGCAGGAGCCATCCCAGCCTTTGTCAGTTTATTGACATCACCTCATCTGGACATAAGTGAACAGGCCATCTCGGCCCTTAGTAAGATTGCGGGTATGTGGAATCCATTGTGATTAATTTTATCATACCTGTGTGACTGTGATTTTTTTCTTTTGTATTATATGATATTTTGATCTGTATAAAGATGCACTCACTCTCAAAGCATTAGTATGAGCAGGTCATTAAACAGTATTTTATGTGAGATACATAGGCACCCACTGATTCTTGCTAAGTTTCCAGCCCTACAAAGAATGTGGTTTATCGTCTGAAATAGTGAAACTCTTGTTGAATAATTTATTATTTAGCAGCCTTGAGGTTGTTGTTTAATTAATTAATTAGTTGCACTCAACTACTTCCTTGGCTTTTATGGTTAATTACAGCAGAGCTGACTGTGTCTTTTCATATTGAGGTGAGGGATCCAGCTACAGAGATCTTGTGATCAAACACGGTGGACTCCAGTCACTTCTGACTCTGCTGGCAGCTCCTGATCTCTCTGTATTCACTGTACGTATCTTTACTTTGCTTAAATTCTACTCAAGTAAAAGTAAAAGTACCCATCTAAAAATCATTTACTTTCAGTAAAAGTTACTTAGTTACTTTTAATTATTTGATGCTAAAGGGATGAGTCATATATTCAATCTGCAACTAGTTATTTTTTAACAACAATTCAAGTGGGATAAGTTAAGAATTCTATGATCTATTTGAACGCTTATACTTCAATTTCAAGCCACTAAAACACTTGAAATGCACTCACAGGAGCTCTCTGCTTGGCAGTCCTCAACCATTTTTTGTTTGGCACCAGTGTCTATGCATGACTTTTACATGTCATTTATCTTAGTTCACACAAATGCTCCATCTATCTGCTCCTGACCCGGCCCCCGTGTTCAATTTTAAAACAATTGTGGCCCACGAGTCAAAAAGTTTGCCCACGCCTGCTCTAAGCCCAAATGTTCAACTTACGGCAATGGTAGCCTGTAGCATGGTGGTGTAGAAAAGAAGGCATATACAGTACTCCAAGTTGCAGTATTGATATTGGATATGAAGGAACTGTATTGAGCAATCCCTACTTAAAACAGCAGAATGGGATGAATTTTCATCTTTTTTCATTAACATTTTGGGATTATTCATATTTCTCAACGTCTTGCTTGCTGTAGACATGCTGTATTTTGGGTTAATACATAGGTTATGGTAAGTAACTGTTCTCAATCAGCATTGACTTCTATTGATAGTCTACTTTAGCTGTTTGTCCAGCTAACAATTACCTTTTCACTTTGATGTTAACAGACTGACTATCTGCTCAATATTGTTTGGACTCTGACCAACCTCTGTCGCTACAAGGACCCTGTTCTTCCTTTAATAACAGTGGAACACCTACTTCCTGGGCTCTCGTGCCTCCTGCACTTTGACAATAAGGAGATCTTGGCTGATACTTGTTGGACAGTGTGTCTTTTAACTGATGGCTCCAATAAAACGACAGAGCTGGTGTTGCAGGCAGGCCTGCTTCCTCGTCTTGTTGAGCTTCTGGCCTGTGGAGACTTCGACGTCGTGGTACGTGCTGTGAAATTTGATTGGCACTGTGTTTGTTTAGAAAGGCCTAGATAAAATGTTTCACACATTTTAAGATACATTTGAGATGTGATCTTGGAATCTTGGAAGAATTGTATAGCTAAAGTCCCTGACTCTGAGTGCTTGGTTTGAAGATGACTAATAGCATGATCTTCTTGTGGGATATACGTGTGTTTGTGGTGAAAGTCGTCTCTGTGGGTTTTGTCTTGTGTTAGCCTGATGGCATTTGCAGTCAGCAAGAGTAGGAACAAAGCAATGTTGTCTTCAGTCCTTTTCTAATGTTTGAAGAAGAGGTGCATTAACATTTCATTTAAATTGAAATCAGAATAATATATCACACCATCCTAACCTGTGCATTTTTAATGCAGTTTACTAAAAAGAACTGACTGTCCTTTACTTCCAAGGCTCCATCACTGAGGGCAGTTGGCAACATCATGGCTGGGACAGATAAGCAGGCCCAGTGTGTTCTAAATGCAGGTGCCCTGGCGATATTCCCTGAACTGCTGTGTCACCCAAAGCCTCACATCCAAAAAGAAGCAGCCTGGACACTTTCCAACCTCACAGCTTGCAAGGACTCCCACATCCAAGAGGTTATTAATGCAGGACTGGTTCCCATCCTTGTGGAAATCCTTTCAAAGGTATATATTTATATGGGTGTGTGCTTTTCAGCACAAAATGTTATTCTCATAACAAGTAGTTATGAAACACCTCATACAAACTGCCCTCAATCACAGATTTTTATCTTTTCAGTTCAACTTTTCAAATGTGCTCGGTGTCTTTCAACCCCAGCATATGTACGGACAAAGTGCTAATTCTTGAGCAATAATAGAATGTTTCTGACAAACAAAAGCATCTCTGCTTTGTCACCTGGGTGATGTTTACCAGTTAAAAACACATACTGTACATTTACGTGTTATTTGATTTTCATTTCATGCAGAATACAGCAAAAAACGTTTTTTTGTTAATTTTAGGAATGTTAATTTATCTTGAATAATTGTGATTAATTACGATCACAATCGCAATTAATTGCATCCGATTCACAGCTGCCTTGTGAATAAGTAAGTAAATAAATATAAATAATTATATTAGTATTCAGTTTTGTGATTTTAAATGTTCCCTCTTTAAAGCATTCTGGTTAAACTCTATTACTACCCTAAAACTTGGGTTATGCACAACCACAGATTATTTCTGTGTTCTTCTGTATGTAGGGGTATTTACATGTTATCATCAATAAATACTCCAATTAAATCTCACTATCTGCAATGTTTGGCATGAAGACTGCTTTGTGTGAGGCAGAGTTTTAGTTTGGCCTTTTTAAAATAATCAATGGTACATATTACACAAAGTCACTAATTATTCTTTATATTTTTCTTGAAATTTCTCTGTTTAGGGAGACTTCAAGACTCAGAAAGAAGCAACATGGGCTATTGCCAATTATGTCAGTGGTGGAACAGTAGAGCAACTGTCCTACCTGGTTAAATGTAACGTACTGGGTCCTCTTCTCAACCTTCTCTCAGTCAAGGACTCCAAGATGGTCTTAGTTATCCTGGATGCTCTCTACAATATTTTACATGTATACATTTCTTTCTCAAAACTTTACAAAATGATTTTGTTATAACTTAAATTAATGGTTGTGTGTGTATGTCAGTTATTATTCTTAGATTTGTGTTTCTCTGCCCACAGATGGCACACAAAGCTGGGGAGACCAAAAGGCTGTGTCTACTGTTTGAGGAGTTGGACGGTGTTGCCAAGATTGAATCACTGCAGTTTCATGACAATGAAGCTGTCTTTAGATCCGCCGTCATCATTATTGACAGATTTTTCACTGAGGAGGTATGTACTTCAAACCCAAATAAAAAAACGAATAAAAACATATGAAGAAAGTTATTGTAATTCCGAGTTTGTATTTTAAAATGCATGAAAGATATTATTTCTATTTGTAGCAGTATTTGTGATACTGCCAGAATACATTTAGTAAGATCACTATTGATCCTTCCCTTTTATGCTACTGTGGTACTTTACAAATTACAAATTCTCCCCCGCCCACTCATCTCCTCCTTGCCTGCTCTGTCGCTTTGGAGGGTTGAGTTTAAACTGCTTCACCTTTTCTATATCTACTCTAAGCATTTTTACTGTTTAAAATAATTTCTAATTAATTTAGTGTCATGTTGTATAACTTTTGGTCACATGCAGTAAAATACAGATATTATGTCAAATACTGCTTTCTCTTTAACTCTGATTATGTCCATATTCTGTAAACTTACATCAACCTTTAAATTTTAAATCAATCAATAAATGTGAAATCATCCCAATGAAACAACAATCACAACATGAAAGGACTCATCAATTTTGTACATTCTGCTTTTTTTCAGGTTGAGGAGGACATGCTGGTTCCTAACAATTCAGCAAACTGCTATGACTTCAGGACCTCAGAGGAAGGGAACCTTTTAGATTTTTAGCACAAATAAACATGCATGAAAAAAAAGTTACTATATTTTTATAAATGCAGATGTTCTTATCTTGATGTTCTGCACTGTGAAATATTTTAGACACGTGTACATTGAATGCCACTGTATAAAGATGTTAATAAATAAAAATGTTCTATTTTGTGACAGTTTTCTGGAAATTTATTATGACTAAATTGTAACTTTTTAAGTGTCCAAAATTTCATAATTAACCACAACTGTACTGTATGTACTGCCATTATTTTTTTTGTTAAATTAATGTGCAATTGCGAAAGACGCTCATTAAAAATAAGACAAAGTTATAAAAAGCAAAGTTATAATGAAATTCTAGTTGGCTGAACATAGTGTTGCCTTGATGTGAATCTTTGTACAAAGGATTTTGTACCGTGGTAACTGCTTAATCATCAATAGCGTCATTCAGTGGTGATTTTATACTGAAAGGTATGGCCGGATGTGCAATGGTTTCACATCTACCTCAGCTAAACCACTGGCTGTGACTGCAGCTTTCTCCATCACCATCACCTCCATTAACTTGGACGGTTGGTAAACCGTTCACCGGAGTTTCATCTGTACTGATTGTATGCAGCATGCAATACGTTTCGGATTAACACGCTCTTTAGATTCGTTGTGCTCGAGCAGAGAGTGTTACACCGACGTGACGGTGATATCATTACGTTGCACCAGTCAGAGTGATTTGCTATGGTGATACTACAAGCTAACTCGGTGGTAGCTAAGGGACTGTTTCGAGAGGCACCTTTAGAAAAACTCACGCTGGCATATGTTTCTTTGACTTTCGGAGGATTTTTTTGATTCAAGGTGGAGCACAGAGGGGAATGTCTAACCAAGGAGTAAGGAGAAATGGCCCAGTAAAGCTGCGGTTGACAGGTAAAGGACATTAAACCTTACTAAAAAACGTTAGCGAGTTAGCTTGGTAGCCAGCTCGGTCCACCAACAATTGTTGTAGGTGAAGAAGCACACTTTTATTTCTCGCATACCTACTATCGTATCTGATGAGTGTTTGTATATATATGTTTATATAAATATATATACATGTATATATATGTACGTACGATATTCTGCTGTGGAGCTTACGGAACGTTTACATTGTTACATATTTTACTTTTTTCTCGTCGGGATTTAACTCAACTAGCTAACTAAAAATGTACGCTGGTTGATACGTAAATTTTTAAGATAGCTAGATCAAAATGTTATAATTTTATGCAAATAATTTAACGAAAGTTTAAAAAATATTGTTTATGTCGTCGATTGTGTTACACAAGGGTATATTTTTGTTGTTACTTGGTGTGATTTAGCAGTGGTAGTAGTGCACACGTTTGCTTCCCCGTTAAGATAATATATATTTAAAATCCCGACCAACTAATTGATGTGGATGATATTACAAGTAGAAGTACGTACACTTAAAACACCTTATTTAAAAATTCCAATTATACTGTTTAAAGAAAACAAAACGTTAAATGTTTGTATTTGTCTTATATTCTTAACTAAATATATTTGATGTAATAAAATGAAATTGGTTTTGTTTTTCACTTTTTTAATTACAGCTTTTGTATGTCATGGTTTAAACTTTTGATCAATCAAACGTGTTAATTCCAATATTTTTTTAAGAAGTAACGTGTGTGCACACCTGTGATATTTGTTGACGGAAGGATGGCCAGGAAACTAATGATGAAAGGCCTCATCCCTTCTTCTAATTGGTTGTTTGACCATTATGAATGTGTTCTGTTGGCAAAATAAAATTTGAGACAAATCTACGGTAGATGCAGTGTTTTTGGCTTCACAGTTAGTTGACGGCCCAGTTGACATTTATGGAAAGGTTACATATAAATGTTAAACTTTTGAATATTTTGACTGCAATCCAAATACCTTTTTCATTTTTCACTGCATCAATATAAAATTAACTTCTTGTTGAAGTGTCAATTTGGTGACCATTTCGCTGAGATGTTTGGTTCCATTGTTTCATTAATCATGTTAGTGATTTTTTTTCCTGAACTCCACAAATTTCAAATTCCATGTGACAGCCAACACTTTTGTATTGCTTAACGACTAAATAAGCCACGTAGTAGTTGCCATCCTAGCATGAGGAGCTGAACATCCAACGTCTGAGTCACTCTGCTTAGCTGTTGTGTTGTACATAATAGGAGATTGTCATACTTATACTCTGTTGTTGAAACTGGCATTTACGGAGTAGGCCAACACTCCAGGAACCAATATGGCAAACACAGAGCAGCATGGAGTGTGGTAGAGAATCTGCTTCATGGCAATATTTTGAACTTGCCATGAAAGTTCCTCAAAAAAATCAAAAGAATGTGAGTATACAACAAGGAGGAGAACTTTGAACTGGCAGCGTGAAATTGTCAAATATGTCAGAGGTTTTAGAATTGTTCTGGATGCGCAAGCATTGGTCAGTGGTTGAAAATGACGGTTTACCACAGTTTTTCATTTTGCAAAAGAGAGTATGTAGACAACTATCACAATAAAAAGGGGTTGGTTAATTTGATTTAGTTAGTTGAGATTGGTAATTTTGAATCTCAGTAAATACTATAGACAAGAGATGAGTGTTTGCACACACAAAATACATTAAAATGTCCATACACTTAAGAACTCCTGTACAATACAGGGAAGATAATCACATTTTCTATGTTAGCTTTGAAGTGTAATATTGTGAAAAGCAATTGAAATGAACTGAGAAAAAACATCTTTAAACCTTGATGTGAAACATAGGGAGGTGGCTACAAATGCATGTTTGAGTATTGATGGATAGTTCCTACCTGTTCATTCCTTCACTGAATGCAGTTTGTGTCCTCTACTCTTCTCATCCTTTGTCTCACCTTCCTACCTTTTTTCCATCCTCTTTCTTTGTGAACATTAAGTGTCTCATTGTGTATTTCTGCCATCTCTCATTTGCCTTACTGTAGATCTAGTGGAGACAGCTGTTTTCCCATATCTGTTTTATCTTGTGATGTACCATTGGAAATCTGAGAATTATAAAAAATACTCATGAGAAATAAAATGTATTAAATTTGAAAAGATGTACTTTTATTATTATTATATTATTATTGCATTAGTGGTTAAGTCTCAAAATAATGTTGATAATATTATCAGCAGTAGTTTGATGGACAATATTTTGTGCCTTTAGAGATGAAAACATCATTACTTTGGTACGTAATGTGACCATGACGTGTTTTTTTCCTTTCAGTCCTGTGTGCAAAGAACCTGGCAAAAAAAGACTTCTTCAGTAAGTAAAATGTTTTTTTTATGTCTATTTCTGTTCTTTTCCCTGTCCCTCCTTTGGACATTTAACAAGCCTGTCAACAGTGACATCTTATTGATGTCTGTCTGTTGTGCACATGCTGAGGTTTGGCCAACAAAGGGAACCTGAGACCAAACCTGTTGTGACAGATGTCTAGTCCATTAGGACGAGACAATGCACCAAAAAGAGAGCAAATATAGTTTGGTATAATATAATAATTTTTTTCATAATATTTGTCATGTTAACTGTCAACAACATCCAAGTAATTTGCAACACTTGCTGTTAGTTTCTAATATTATTATCCTTCAACAATGTGACCTTTTATCTCATTAAAGCAGTTTATAGTATTATATAATATATAATATGTTAAGGCATCTGCTTTCATTAACATTATTGTTCATTCTGTCTGCTTTGTTCTGGATTTGTAACACCTAAAATGTGTAATATGTCATTCTATTATCTCAAAAAGAATTATTGATTTATTTTAATGGTTACCATCATTTTAATTGCCACTAAAATAAATATACAAAAGGAATCTTGGGCATTCCTATCTAGAATAAAGGCTTATTAAGTAAGGTGTTTATTCAACTTATTTTTATTCATTTGACTTTTCTTTTTTTTGATGTAACCAGTAGTCAATAACAAATCTCTGCATGTGAGATTAGCATTTATACATTTAACAACAAGGTTACTTACTCAGGAATTATTTATAAACTGGCATCATCAAATTAAGATACAGAATTTTTTTTTTCTCACTTCCTTTGAGAAAAGCAACAACTAAGAAGAAGGCACAGGACAACGTTAGGGTGACAAAACAGGTTAGACTTAGGTAAGGTTTCATTGCCTAGAGGTAAATATGCTGACACATTTACAATACATGTAGGGTAGAACAGGTCAGTGCACACAGCACCCGGTGTCATATAAACAAAAAGACACTAAGATTGGTATTAAAATAGCATGACGAAAGAGTCCATGTCAACGTCCACCAGCATCATTGTTGTGTAAAATGTGTACTGTACTATTATATTTTTTCTACTATATACTTTTTTTTTGTCTATGCTTTTGTCTTATATAGGATTACCAGATCCCTTTGCCAAAGTGGTCGTAGATGGTTCAGGACAGTGCCACTCGACAGACACTGTGAAAAACACCCTTGACCCCAAGTGGAATCAGCATTATGATCTGTAAGTTTAATAATGTCTTCTATTTATTTTTTTTATAAATAGAAAACATTATATATATAAAATATATAATTATTTTTTAAATTTTATGATTCAATATACACCTTCGAATTGTTTTGTTAACGTGTGTACTTCTATCTCACCCAACCTGTCTTTTCACATTGGCCTACTAGAAGCTCACACTCTGAACCACTGACCTCTGTTTTAGTTGAGGAAGTTATTATACTATTACACAGTTAAAGGAGGGGTGGGCTGATGGCAAGCTCACTTATCTTACCACTCCTGTGTTTGGGGGGGTGGAGCCTTCCTTACATCACACTAACACCACTATGGCCTTTAAGCTCTGTTTTGTATATAATAATGTATTACATAATGTTGGTGTTTTCCCCCTGTTGCAGCCTGTGTTTTGGCTGTTAATAGGGTAATCAAATAGCAAACGATACAAGAAAAAACAAATTATAGAACATCAACTTGCAGCTGTGTTATTCACAATAAGTTGGAATTTGAAATGTATTTTTACATTTATATAATTTTTTACTATTGGAGGTTGAAGGCTTTCACTGTTTATAATAACATGTCAGGATGACAATGGCAGGAGCCACAGTTTAATTTGCATAAAAATGTAGGTATAAATGAAGATACAGGTGACACTGAGGTTAAGCCATGCCTCAATTACAGAATAGATACCTGCACACCTTTCTACTGTCTCTCAAAACTGCCCTCATGTCCTCTTCATTTATTTTTTGTACTTTCTTTAAACTGCCTTCCGCTCATCTGTCCTTATCTCACTTATTTTCCTCATTCATTAGCTTCTGTGTTATCATTACATCAAAACAACTATTTTGGCATCTCTATTTAGTTGATGTTCTGGAAGCTAATTTGTTAAAGATAAGACAAATATTCAAAACAACGACAAATTAGATAATGCTTCTGATTTATTTACATTTCTTCACATTTGAAAGAAGTTATTTTGCCAAATTCTTCTGAGTATAATAGTACTGCAAGTTACTGTAATAACTCTTCTCTGTTTTTTTTTAAACCATTAGATATATTGGAAAAGCAGACTCCATCACCATCAGTGTGTGGAACCACAAGAAGATCCACAAGAAACAAGGTGCTGGTTTTCTGGGCTGTGTCCGCCTCCTGTCTAACGCCATCAACAGGTTAAAAGACACTGGCTGTAAGTACCTATTAATGATTGGTTTGTATATTGTTTGTTAGGACAGATGATCAAGACATCTTTTTATTCTTTCCCTTCAGATCAGAGACTGGATCTAAATAAACTGGGTCCCAATGATAATGATACTGTAAGAGGACAAATTGTAGGTAAGACATGTGACAGCTGAACACTGAAAATGCTGAGAGGACGTATGGCAAACATTAAAATCTATCCTCATCATTATATATTCACTATCTTAATTAAAGTACATCATAATTAATTTGTTTAAAGAAAGCTTTGTTTGTATTGTACAATTTCAACATCAGCAGCTACTATTATAGTTCTTTACCTTAAGTTGTCATCGTTTCAATTATCTGTCAGTCGAGGATATACAAAATATATACATTTTATTAAACAGTATGTCACAGGAGGCTAGCTTAACTGATTATGGTATTGTAGGAATACACATCAAAAGAGACATATTTTAATTTAACCATTCTGTCTGTAGTAAGCCTTCAATCCAGAGATCGCATCGGGTCAGGAGGACCTGTGGTGGACTGCAGTCGTCTCTTTGACAATGACTTACCTGATGGGTCAGTGCTGTATCTTTTGCTTTGAAATCAGTTAGGTCTGTTTTGGTTTTTGCTCTGCTGAGATAAATATTACTTGTAAAATAAAATATTGTACAAAGAAATTCCTGAAAACATCTGAAATTTCCACTATTATTGGTAGGCTTTTAGAGGTCCAAAACTATGGCCCACAAATTTTAATTTATGGTCAACATAACTACCATATCTTTGCATGAGAGACATGTGATTTTATTATAATATTCTATTATAAAAGATACAAAGATTTTGAAAATGACCAAAAAAGTCTGCTATTTCTTTAAATAAAAATCTTAAAAAGTTGACTTTTATTCTATGTAGAAATATTTTTTTTTTGCGTGAGTATAAATTGAGGAGTTTGGTATTGATGTTGTCAGTTGTGTATGATGTTTTAACCTGTTGGTCTAAATTTGGAAAATGCAGGTGGGAAGAGAGGAGGACAACTTCAGGAAGAATTCAGTATCTAAACCACATCACACGCACCACCCAGTGGGAAAGACCAACAAGGTACAGGATCCTAACATCCCTAACTGTTGACTCAGTAATTATGATTTAAAATTCAGCTGTAGTTAAATAAACTGGAATTTCCTAATAATTATCTTCTTTAACATCATAACCTTTCAGTGTTCCTGTTTCTACTTTGTTATTAAGAAATTCTCTAGGAATTGTATTATTTTATTATTTAGTATTATTTGTGTTGACTTTGCTGATAAAGAGAAACAGAGTTGCTGTGTGACTTAACTAAAAAAGGGTTGTTAAATGCCCTAATACTATCAAAAATGAGTCGTTGCTTAAAATCTGTCTTTTTTGCATTACACACTTCAACATTATACTTAACAGCTCATTCGCATCACCACTGTTCCCTTCACCACTTTGTCCATTGATGTCCTTTGCAGTCGGCACTCTCTTAAACGATTTGCCCTTGCCGTCACTGCCTTCTCATGATCCTTGTCCAAAACAATACAAATAAAAGTCACAAGGACCAAACACGATCATGGTTACTCTCTTCCAGACCTGCGTCGGAGTATTCCAGCCCATCAGGGCGCCCACTCAGCTGTGTGGTGGATGAGAACACACCAGTGATGACACCAATTAATGGGGCCGAGGCAACTAGACCAACAGGGGAGCCACGGATCCAGGAGAAACGAGTGCGATCGCAGCGACATCGTAACTACATGAGTCGGACACACCTGCACACACCACCTGATCTTCCTGAGGGTTATGGTGAGACTGCAACACACACACACACACACACACAACGTTGAAAGGTTGGCCTAATCACTAACTTAATTACCATGTTGGCATTAATATATAAGAATTAACCTGATGTACTAGTTTTGTAAATCACATACAAGAACCAGCTGAAGCTTTCTATCATTACTGGTCGACTGACAAAGTACACTGTTTAAGATGGGCATGTTTTCTAAATTGCTTTTGTAAATGAATATTGCCACCTCAAAGAGTTCTTAAAAAGCTGCACATTTGTCTTGGTAATTACTCCTGTAAAGATACCAAAAGGTTCACGTTTTAACCTACTGTAAACTTGACATACACCTGAGCACATTTATAAAGTTTATGTACTTTCTCCACATTTTTGATTATTGTTGGCCTCAGTGATCACCAAAAGATTTTTTTCTTTTTTTTAACTGATGAACCTTTTGTCAAGAATTATAAAGGACACTTTTGGAACTGTTCTCCCTGAGGATGGCAAAGCTAAGACAAATGACTTACTGATTCATGGCCAAAGGCAACAGAGCAATTTTCCAGGGCGAACCCCAGTGAACTCATGGTTAGTGTATGAGTAGCTCAAAATCACGCACAGACTATCAACACAATTTAGCTGGCACACGCCATCCATCTGTGAATGGATTTGAATTGATTGTCAGTGACAGAATACAACTGGAAACAACCCAATTTTAAATCACTGTATTTCAAGGAAGAAGAGCTGCACAGTTTACAAGCTGCATTCTCTCAGTTCTTCCCCTGTCATTACATACACCAGCTATGACTTGTAGCTGATGTATGAAATACCTGTATCACTGTATTCTGCTACAGTATTTTAAAATGTTTGTTTACTTTCCAGAGCAAAGAACCACTCAGCAGGGTCAGGTTTATTTCCTTCACACACAGACAGGAGTCAGCACCTGGCATGACCCCCGGGTACCCAGGTACGTTTTTTTTTCTTGCCTCTAATGTAGCCACTGATGTGAAACTAATCCAACAGTTGCCTCAAGGACCTTTCTTAAATAACTGGTGCTTAAAGTCTTTAGCCTTTTTTAAAATACTTTCATAATTGTTACCTTTTAATCTGAACATCACCTGAGTTCAGATTTGACTTTTATACAAGGTCCTCATTATAATGACCTATTTTGGGTTTACTTTGTTTTCATCAGTGGATACATTATTGTTTTAGCTCTTCAGGTCGTATCATTACTTAAGTGTAGTGTTCAATGCTTTATTATCTTTCTTATCAATGCTATTGTTAAAGTTAAATTGAGTCATTTTGTTTTACTAGCACTCTTATTGATGCTAATATCTGTTGCTTATCTGTTTAGGGACCTAAGCAATGTGAACTGTGAAGAGCTTGGACCTCTGCCACCAGGCTGGGAAATAAGAAACACAGCAACTGGACGTGTCTACTTCGTTGACCACAACAACAGAACAACACAATTCACAGATCCACGGCTGTCTGCCAACCTCCATCTAGTTCTCAAGTGAGTCTGACCTAGTAACAGTTTATGGTCCCTTGGACAAACCAAAGATTCATGATTATAAAATTATATTATATATTTTTTTCCACTTTGTTTTTTGAGTAGTTTTTTTTTCTTTTCTCACCATTCTCACTTTTCTTCTGATTCTGCTTTTTTTTATACCGCTTTGTTATCGTATTTATTTTCATTGTTATAATGATCTCCTGTCATGCACTTTTTAAAATTTACATTTACATTCAAATCGTATCCGTCTTCTTATTGTTTTGACTGTTACAATAATATCCCATTGTCCATCTTAACTTTTTTGTCTTCCTCTTTTTCCTTTCCCTCCCCTCTTGTTTTGTCCAGCAGCCCAAGTTCAAATGGTTCCCGTGTGGTTACAGAAAGCCAAAACACTAACCTCAGGTAACCCACACACTTGTTCACTGACATTTACGCAGACCAACACTGCACATTCCCAAACTTTTATGCCGCATTTTAATGAATCTGCTACACAGTTTTCCTTCACACTCTTACATATGATTTGAAATAAGCAGTCCATACATACTGTATAAATGAAAAATTCAGTGCCCACAGTCTCAAAGATTTTTTTTATACCCAAGGAATTTGAGCAACTCAGTGAGTCACTCGAAGACAGAAATACAGACACCCATTTCTATTATTGTGAATGAAAAATCCTAGGTTCCATAAGCAAAAGTACATTAACTGTCCACATCTTTCAGTATAAATTTACTGTAGTTTTTGCAAAGACTCTGCTCAGAGCAAATCACAGAAACTTGGGAGCTGCACACATGCTCACACTCACTCACCATCGTGCTCCTAATGCTAGTTTATCATGTTAAGGAGTTGTTGAGCCATTGTTGAGTGTGTTTATACCCTCTGAGAAGAAAATCTAACATCGGTCTATCATCACTGGAACTTAGATCTCAGCCAGCTAAGCCAGAAGAGAAGTCTAAAGTCCACTCCACTAGGGAAAGTAATATAAAACACATGTTAGCACCGTTCATATCGGCCTACTACTAGTTCTTATAACCTCACTAAAAGTAAATTGTTTATTACAAGCTCTTTCACGTCGTATTTTGTAAACGAAATGTTTAATTGAAGCCTTTGTCACATATTATGTGGTCAATATGGGGTTAATAAAAAATCAGGTCAGTTAAGCTATGGTAAATAAGGGATATTACACATACATTCCTAAAATGTATGAAGCAGTGATCTGGAGACTTTCATCCTATAGATTTGTTGCAAATTATTGTCAAGTCAAAATTATCTGCAATAATAGCAGCTGGCAATGTGGACGTGTTTGGGAAATGAACATCTGGCCATTTGGTCTAATAAGATCCACATGTGTCAGAATAGCCCTTGGTGGTGAGTTGAATTTCAGCTCTGTTATCCAGTCTGTATCATTTCTACGTTACCTTTAAGACTCTAAAGTAAAGTAGTACATTATTGCAATGTATTGAAAATAACATGTTTTTGCATATACCAGGTTTTCTGGATTATACCAGTAAATCCTCTACGTGGTTAATATTTAAATATTTTATGCTTGGTTTGATCCTTGCCAGAGATTTATCTAATTCTCAGTCAAATTTCAACTTTATTCTGGTTCCCTAGTTCTAGCTGCTCTCTTCATAGACTCCCACAGTAAACACTGTGCCTGAAATTTAAAAAAATTCATGCTGCCAAAAGGTTGCCACATGAGGCAGATGTGTAAGGCAGGCATGAAAAAATAAACATTTTAAATGATTTTAAAGCCTTAGCTTTTAGTCCAGCATTGCAAGAGCAATACAGGTTCAGTTAGACACAGTACAAACATGGAAATGGGTAAGAAGAGGGAAAAAAAGACATCTTTACATCACATACAGATGTGAGACTAAAATCTATCAAGACCAAAATCATCAGCCTTGGAATTGAGGACTACTGGCTGGTCGAAGGTAAAGGAGGGGTCCGTTATGCTAATATCATGACAGCAACAAAGATTAACCAGATTTGTCAGGAATTGGAACACGACAAAGCCCACCCAGGAGAACAAAGAGCATCTTAAGGAGGAGGCCACTCAGTCTATGAAAAGCATTGAGTCATTGGAGAATTTTAAAGAAGATGGAAAATCATGCCTACATTAAAAAAAGAAATTATAGCATACAGTACTTACCAAATGCCTCAGCCCAAAGAGAATGATGGAATGCACCTCCACCAAATATTTTCATACAAAAGTAGAAAACCCTCATCATCTGTAACATCTTGACTGATTTTGAGGAGAGGGACGGTGCAGGCAGGGGGATACACACAAAGTAGCTGGATTCTCAGAACAAAATGCCAGCAATATGGAGCAATTTTGGAACATCTTGTGATTTAAAGTTTTTTTATACCTAGATTGGCATTTACCACCTGACAAAAATACTGCTCGACAGCTAGCACCTTGGTGAAATAGTGCAAAAGGGCAGAATTTCTAAATGGATCCCTGGGATGCCCAGAACACAGTTGTCCTCACACAGCAGGTCTGAGGCACAGAAAGGGTGGGGTGGGTAGAGTTACCCTCAGGGCCGTTTTAATGGAATGGCACAGGCTGTAAAAGGTAATAATCAACAATAGTGAGTCTTTTCTCATCAGCTGTGAACATGCTGATTGAATCAACAGGAAATTTAACCTAACAACTCTCATTTAGAAGCAGGGATTCCAAGGAGCTGAAGAGAGAACAATATGTTGCAAGTGAAACCCCAGTGCATCAAGTACTCTGTTGGAGCAGTGTATGAAATACTTTTTACTTTCCAAACCTGCACTGCTTGGGCAGAGCAAATTCTTCAAATGTTTCTTGTGTTCAGCTTGCTCAGCAGCCCTGAAGCCGTAGGAGAAGGTTGTATTGGAGGTGGCCAAAGTTTGCTAACTATCTGAAGCCATCTGCTCCTCCATTCCCCCCAGCAAACATCAGTTCCCAGCTAAAACAAACCACTCATTCAAAACAGCATCCAAGCAATGAAAGGGGAGCAAAATCCTCATCTGTCTGCTCATCAACACAGCCTTCTTGTTTGCTGCTGGTTTCTGTTACCTTCTATACTTGTATAAATGGCTTTGTGTAGATGTATGGCAGTTAAAAAAAAAGTTAAAATATCTATGCCAGCATTATCCATTTGAAAATGCAATACATATGTGTGTTTGTTTTTACATTTTGAATCTGTTCTGCATTGAAATTGAAAGCATTGACGTTCAGCACTGACTTTGCCTGCCTTTAAGGGAAGTGTAAAGAACAGGGCATTAGCTTATGTTGTGAGCAGAAATACTCACAAAGGGCCCTTTGATTCTTTGCGCAGGATGGATGAATGGATGGGTTGGAGGTCTGTGGGTGGTGTTGTGGTGGTGGATGGTGCAGCCTTTCACAGCTACAGAATTCATGTTTCTTTTTTTTTCTACCCTAGCAAATTTGCAGCTTTGTAGAACCTGTTTAGTTTGGAAAGCAGAAATGATCAACTATGTTAAAACCTCAAAAGACAAACCAAATGATGCTTTGTTGCAGACTTACACTTTCTTTGACATGCTTGGAGGCTCTGCACTTGCTCCACAGTTGACTCAGTCATGGAATGATAAACCTATGTAATATTGAAAGCCAAAATAGAATTTTGCAGTTATTCCCAACCTTTGCACCACAGCGCACTAGTGTGCATTGAGAGAGGGCGAGTGACAGATGAAAACTAAAAAGAAAGACTGTTGATGAAGATCTTGCTGGTTGTCTTTCATCAATTCGTGCTAGTTTGTCAGATTTGTTTAACAAAACATGCACAGGTTTCACACTGAGCAAATAAGTTATAATTATTGATGTGTGATCAACAGTTCAAGTTATTATTATTAATTAACTAGAAGCTCTATATAGTTTATTATCATATACTTTTTGGGACATTTTTGTTTGGTGGTGAAGCAATTCAGATGTGAACTGTGTTATGTGGCTCAAACAAAGTTGGGAAACACCAGAGAAATCTTTTCTTGGTTTGCTGTATTTGGGTGGCTACATATTGCTACCTAGAAAGACCACTTCCTTTATGTGCCAATTTGGGCTCCCAATGTGCTGCCTTTGTTTGGCCAGCAGCAGCCTCCACAGTCCACTGCGAGTGAGGGACAGTAGTTGCTTTTTAAGAAGTGGTCTGCTTGCTCAGCGTCTTACATTATGTTTTTATGAGGCCCACCCAGTCGTCTTACCACTAGCACCACAGTAAGTGCTGAAGGAGGCGAGAGCTAGTGCAAAGACAGGGGCACATCATTGCCAGGTTTGTGTAAGAATATTCCTCAGACAGTCTTTCTAAACACAAGGTCTGAATAGCAATAGCACAAAAGAATACATATCAAAAACTCTGAGCCAGAGAAAATCCCTGGGTCTGCTCTGTGGCCAGCATACTTCTCCAAACACAAAGAAACTTGTTTTAATGCAACTGCAAAACAGCCTGCAGGCTCCAGGTGGAAACAAACAAGTGGAGATTTTTACTGCTACTGAGACCGTTGTTCAATATTTTTATTTGTGGCAGAAAACCACAAGACATCAGTTATATTTCACACCACATTCCCATTGTTTAACACTTTCTACCTTTTTTTCCCTTCCATTTCTCTTTGCCTATCCAGGATTCTACTCTCTTACTGCCTTTCTCAATGACAATATTTACCAAAGTTGTGTCCCAGCTTTTCCGTAATCGGGATCAGATATACTTAGTGTGAATTTTTATTTTAAGACTTTCTTTTGAAAAATAAATAAATAAGTAGTTTGAAGGCATTAGAGGGAAATCTTTCTTTGGTGGTTAGGGTGCTGGGGAATTCCCTTCAGGTGATTACCCCCCTTTTTTTTTACATTTTTTGTTTGTTACTTTCATGACTTTATGAAAGGGGTGAATATGTCTGTGGCCAAGTGAAAGTAACAAGCTGTAATACATAAGCGTAGACTGTGTAGAAAGGTCACCTGAGGACTGTTAAGTCCCCAAGTAAACTAAAAACACTGTTGGTGCAAAGCTCTGTACAGCTCACTTTATTCCTACATACTCATACATACTCACTGTCATGCACAACCCTTAAATATCCACATACTGCATAACTTCAACCTCACTTTCAAACCATTGATCTTTTCAGTCAACCGACTCCGTCAAAGGAGCAGGTGGGTCCTCCAGGGAACCACCAGCAAGCCCTGTCACCAGCACAGCTACCTGAAGAGGCAGAGTGCCTGACCGTCCCCAAATACAAGAGGGACCTGGTGCACAAGCTGAAGATCCTGCGACAGGAACTGTCTCATCAACAACCGCAGGCCGGTCATTGCCGCATTGAGGTGTGCCGTGAGGAAATATTTGAGGTAGGCTGAAGCACAGCACTCACCCATATTTAGAGATCCTCTTTCATACATTGTTATTCATCACATTTCAGGAGCCATGGCTTTTATTAAAAAAGATTATCAGAGCACATGCCTTATGGTCCTGTTTAACGTAAACATTCAAATCCAATGGCCATAGTTGCAAGTCATCCATAAAAAAAAAATGATGTGAGTTTTTATTGTGTATAGATTATTTAAAGCATCAAAAGCTGAAATGCAGTAACTAAGTATCTATGGAAACAATGTTAAACCAGATCTTTGAATTTTACTTTTTGCATTTTTTTCTAATCCTATACATGTAATAGGTCTAAAGCAGGGAAAAACCTTTATTGATACCGGCTTAATGGGAAAGCCTTAACAACACCACAAAACTTTAACTCTACCTCTATACTCCATCTGTCAACTGCAAGAAAGTTTTTAAATAACAATTAAAGGTTTTTTTTCAAAGGGGAGTGGTAAAAAAAGTGGTGAAAAGGAGTTTTTGCAGCACTTGCAAGTGTACAGAGCAACTTGAACTACAAGAGGTTCAATAAAGAATACGACTTCACTGCTCTTTAATATGACAGCTGTGGTACTCTTACTGTACCGTGTTTTGTTTACACCTTGTTCTCTTTCACAACTTACTTTCCAATGATGCAATGTTTTGGTTTCCATTTTCACACCGTAATTGAATGCAGGAAGTGTGCTTTTGAATTAAATAATAATTAGGGCTCTGATATCAACTTCTACAGCACAACATCCGAATTATGTAGGAAATGCTATTATATTGGATTTTATTACACATTTTAACAATATGGATTGGAATGCAAACATATATATTTAATTGTATGAAGCTGATGGGCTGAGAACTAGCAGTTGTCAGTAACAATGTTAGCATGTTCTCGCTAGTTTATTTTGGGGGCCAGGAGACAGATAGAAAAATGATTTTAATTGACTTAAAAATGAATAAAAGTAGTGTGTAATGAAATATTGACTGCATGTACTGAATCTTAGGAGTCGTACCGACAAGTGATGAAGATGCGTCCAAAGGATCTTTGGAAAAGACTGATGATCAAGTTCAGAGGAGAGGAAGGACTGGACTATGGTGGGGTCGCAAGGTAAACCGTCCTATGAATCTTTGCACGTATAATTGCCAGATAGAAGCGATTATGTCCTGTCTTTATTTAAATGACATATCTGACTGTTATTCTGTCTGTGTGCTTGTTAGGGAATGGTTGTACCTTCTGTCCCATGAGATGTTGAACCCCTACTACGGCCTGTTCCAGTACTCCAGAGATGACATCTACACTCTGCAGATTAATCCTGACTCTGCAGTCAACCCAGTAGGGATTCTTTATTTGGAGTAATGTGACTTGAGAAGATAAGAATCTAGAAATTATTGTCATTAGATTTAGACAGAGAGTCAAGTGTCATATTGTCCTGTTTTTAGAAATGTAATTAATGACGATGGATGATAGAACACATGTCCACAGTTTTCTCACGGATGTATCTTTGATCCAAGCTGCTTTATTTTACATGGCTCTTAATAAATGTTCTTATAATTGCTTTATATGTATGTATTTAAATGTATTTGTTTTGACTGCAGGAACATCTGTCCTACTTCCATTTTGTGGGCCGTATCATGGGAATGGCAGTTTTCCACGGCCACTACATTGATGGAGGCTTCACTCTGCCTTTCTACAAACAACTGCTAGGTAAACCAATCACTCTGGATGATATGGAGTCTGTTGATCCTGATCTGCACAACAGCCTTGTCTGGATTCTGTAAGTAATTTTTGTTCACCTTCTAGCAACACATTCTTTGGTTATTCTTGTGATTTGTGAACCTAAATCTTTATGAGAATAAACAGCATTTTAATAAGAAAGAAAAATCACCAGAATGTGCCGGAAATGTATCCTATTCACAAAAGAAAATATAGAAAAGAGGCAAAGGTGTTTCAGAGTGTCACACACATTGCTTCAGTGAGCCTGTAAAGAAGGCACACAGATGAACAGGACAACTAACTCATGTATGCTAGCGTTCTGTGGTGTCCTTTAGGTAGCAGAGGAGTCATAAATGTTGTTAATGTTTCTTGGCATTAATGGCATCGTTTGATAGTTAATATCACAGCACCTGATGTGGATATTCATGTGAAATTACGTGTTTTTCTACCAAAGATCTAATGAGTAAGACAAATAGTTTTCACACATTCCATCATAGTTTCCATTGTAGCTCTAGTCTTGCTCAGCAGGTCATCCAGGTTATTGTAATACAGCATAATGTAGTTGTGGCGCCCTCTGCTGCAAGAACATGTGTATGTGTAATCTTAAATTTGGACTATTTATTTTAAGTGGGTTTCTTGTTGCTTTTTCAGTCACTCCGTGATTGGATTGAAACGTTTATTGACTTTTGTGTCACAAAAGATAGAATGACCACATATGAAATCTATCTGTTTGTAGATGACATTCTGTTAATGTTGACTGCAGACTACTGTTCTCTGCAGATGAATGATGAACTGTACTGTAGTAATGTTGTCTTTTCTCCCTGTGCCCCCTCCCTGGTTTAGGGACAATGAAATTTCTGGAGTCCTAGACCACACTTTCTGTGTTGAGCACAATGCTTATGGAGAGATCATCCAACATGAACTCAAACCTAATGGTAAAAGCATTCCCGTCACGGAAGACACAAAAAAGGAGTATGTGAGGTAAGAAAAGACGAGTTGTCTGGTTGCCAGTATTAAATTACACCACCGTTTGGATCATATATTTGGAATGTGGCTTGGCTGAAAACATTTCAGACTTCAGACTCATTTCTCCTCTTCTGCAGGTTGTACGTGAACTGGCGTTTCCTGCGTGGCATCGAGGCTCAGTTTCTGGCTTTGCAGAAGGGTTTTAATGAGGTCATCCCCGAACACCTTCTCAAAGCCTTTGATGAAAAGGAGCTGGAGGTACAGCAGGACAAGTACACTTCCAAAATCAAATCCAAGAAAATACATTCTTCATATATTACACATTGATCTAAATTTGTATCTTGTGTGATTCTGAACACCTTCTTGCTTTAAGCTGATCGTGTGTGGACTGGGAAAGATCGACATCTCAGACTGGAAGTCAAACACTCGTCTGAAGCACTGCACGCCCGAGAGCAACATCGTGAAGTGGTTTTGGAAAGCTGTGGAATCGTTTGACGAGGAGCGGCGGGCACGATTACTGCAGTTTGTAACGGGCTCCTCCAGAGTTCCACTCCAGGGATTCAAAGCTTTGCAGGGTAATTTACCTGACGGTCTGTGTGGTCTGTCATCTAAAACTGGCAGGTTTTTGTTTCAGGGCTTCACTCAGTTCTCTTAAATGCTCTTGCAGGACCGGAGATGATGTTTCTTAATGTGACATCATTAATGTGTGATGTCATCACACCAACATGACAACAGGCAGAGCGCCTGTTTATTCTCTATATTTAAGGATTCATGTAACTGAACGACCATGTGTATTAATAAAATAGTTTTTAGTAGAGTTTTGAAACATTTAACATGTTTTCAGTTGTGTTATAGACCGTAGGAAAGAAACATCTGTCCTGAGTCACTTGACTCAGATATGATGTGATATGAAGCTGAGTGGATGCATTTTCTACTTTGCAGGAGCTGCAGGGCCTAGACTCTTCACCATTCACCAGATCGATGCCAACGCCAACAACCTGCCCAAAGCTCATACCTGGTGTGTGTAACAACATCTGCAGACACAAAACTTAATACAACTTTAGTTTAACATATATGAAGCTTAACTTTCCCCTGTGATGGGAGTGTTTGAATTTATATGGATGTCTAAACCAGAGGTCACCAACTATGTATATTTGTTAAAGGGCCAGAATTTAAATCACATTTTTGTCTAACATTATTATATATATTTTTTTTTTTTTATTCCAAAAATGAATGCATTTTTAGCCTTTAATAGTGTGAGTCACACTATATTTTCTCTTTGATCCTCACAACATTGAATTCCTTTCGTGGGCCGGTCTGGAGAATTCTACTGGCTGGATTCAGCCCACAGGCCACCAGTTGATGATCACACAAACTGTAAAATCCCTCCATTGAGGGTCGATGTGTTTTGGGAATTTGGGTAACAAATAAAAATGAATTGACTTGACTAAACAAGATAATCAAATCCATTTTAATGAAGTATTGTGTTCTTATTTTCCACTCCTCATGTCGTCGGTGTTGACCCGTCTTTCTTTTCCTTATTTTTCAGCTTTAATCGGATTGACATTCCTCCCTACGAGAACTACGAAAAACTCTACGACAAACTTCTAACAGCCATTGAGGAGACCTGTGGCTTCGCCGTGGAATGAGGGTCGCCATGTGTAATTGTGTGTGTGTGTGCACGTGTGAATGTGCACATACACACACATTTAGCCCAGCCCAGAGCTGGATCAGTACGTCTTCGAGCAAACAGCAGTCTTCCTACAATCTCATCGATGAGCTCGCTCATCTATGTGAACAGCTGCTAGCAGACAAAGCCGAGTCTTTTTTTAGATGTAGATCATTCGAGGAAACAAATATGATAAGTTGTTTCTACATTAGCCAAGAGCATTTGAAGAAGTCTAATCTTAGTCTAATCTTTAGTTTAGTCTAACCCAACCCCGGAAGGATCCATAGACATATTGGTCAGTAACAAAAAAAATGAACAGGCATTTAAATAACAGTTAGGAACCATTTCGTCCTGCATTTTTAACTAATTAAAATAACCTTTGTCATGCTGCTGAATCTTTAACATTGCAGGTAGCCATTTCTTGCCCATTGTAGCCATTTAACCTCATCTAACACCGGAGCTGCACAAATTCCTCCTACCTCAGTGTTGTCTGTCCACAGTTGAAGTACACGTCAAAAGTACTATTAAGTTAACATTGGTAGCTTACGTTGTTCAAAGTCCAATTGAAAAAACTTTTGTTATTATGCCAGCAGTGACTTTGTGAATTTGTATTAATGGTATTAATGGAAAAAAAAGGTTCAAATTTTAAGTGGAACTTTCACAGACAGAGCTGGGTACAGATCGCAGACAGACTCTGGTGAGGAAGACGTACATCTTTTTGTTTTGCTCGTCCCCGTCTTATTGACATTCTCTCACGTGCTCCCCGGGTTAACACAGATGTACGTTTGTATGTTAAATAAAAATCATTGTGTCATCGAGGCCCCCTCCTCCTCCTCCACCAGTCCCTGCAAGAATGGTTCAGTTTGGCCCTGGTTCATCTTCCTTCTCTGTATGTTTTTATGTTCTTGTACCGTTCAAAACTAACTATATTCACTTATAGCATTTTTTTAAATTTCTCCATATGATTTGTTCAGCCAGAAATATTTGTCTTCGCCTCTTCTCTCTTTTTCTCTCGCCACATTCGAGCACTTTACAAACTGAGAAAGGACGGCGGCAGGAGTGCTTTTTTTCAGATTATATAAAAATCTATTATTTCATTTGGTATTCAACTTCATTAGTAATATATATATAAAGAGTAAAAATGGATGCACCTCTAATGTCCGAGTATATGAATATGTACAAATGCATAGCTATTTTGTATATTGTTGCTTTGTCTCTCTGTTGGCAGAACCTTTTTGATTCTCAGGTTATAGTTATTCTTTTCTTCCATGTACGAGGCTGTCATGTGAGAGGGTGTGAAGTGGTTCAGTGCTACGTGTACTTCTGATGATCTGTCTGGCAGTTCACATATGAAGGTTCGACATCTGTCACCCCTCCCCGCCCCACCCCCCCACACCTCCGTCAGCTCAGACTTCAGAAGCAGTGGTGATGAAGTGAGGACATTGCCTGAATGCTGTGTGGACACGCAGCTGTGAACTGTTGATTCTTAAAACGGACAAAACAAGAGACACGAGTGGATATACTTCTTAAGACCTGACATTCTGAGGCTGATAAAATGCCCTTATTTTATTTTTTTTCAAACATTTGCATATTCACATAGTTCCTGCAGTTTATAGACTGATGCACACATAGTCTTCAAACAAAATATAAATATGTAAAAACAGTGCACCTGATCTTTCTCTTTGGTAGCTTTGGTTGGCATGTTTTCTATTGAAAGGTCGTGGCAGTTGGATCTCTTTAACCGTCTTTCAGACTAAGTTACAAACATCGCAGAGTAATTATATTATGCGCTGAGATCTGTCATTATAAAAACCTCTCTTTCTCTCTTTCTTTCTTTGTATTACTGAACAGCCACTGCCACTGTGATCAGTATCACCTCTGATATCAGACGTGATGCTGACTGCTGTGCTGCAAAACACCCTTTAGGAGGCAAAATACTCTCCACACCACCCTGCTTTTTCTTTTTGTATTTATAATTATAGTGTTTTTTTTTTTTTACTTTTTTCCTCTGTGAGCTTGTAACTGAGACATGCACATAAAAACAATAAAGAATCAATGTAACACACTCCTTGTACCGTTGCAAAAAGCTGAGCAATAAAGCTGTGCTGTTTGAAACTCACAGCATTATGTTTTATAGACTCCACTTGTCCTTTTCCATTTTATTAAACTTTTATGTCTTAGTTCACAATCTTCTATCCTGAAAGACTCTGGTGAATGGTGATGAATGAGGTCAATTTCCATTTCTAGTGTTTTACACATTACATCAGTGTGTTCATTGGCTTGGAAGCTAAGAGGTTCTGGCAGATGCACTTCCGTGACAACTCCTATCCAATAGAAAGTATACAGGTTTGCCTACATTCCTGCCTGTACCATGAGCACACATTTTTCTGTCTTCTAAAGAAAGGCACAGGAAGTGTCAAACACAAACACTTGTTTTAATGTCATTGTTATTTTACTGTGTTCTTTCCTAATCGTCTTTTCCACATGTCTCAGCATAAATTTAGTATTATAATTATCTATAATTGGAAACTAAATAAAAGAAATACAGTACAGTCTTTCGGTGGGGTCTGAAGTCCTTTTTCTCCAGTGAACATTTAAGGAAAAAAATTGTCCAAACTATATATGTCCAAATATACTTAGTAAAAACACTCTAGCCAAAGGCAGTTTATATTCAAGGAAAATCTTTTTTTTTTCTCTATCTGAATGGAGGTTGCAGGTTCTAGTAACTTTAGAAAGATGATAAATAAGCAGGTAAAAGGTTCCAAGGTAAAACCTTCCAATCTGCAACTGTGAAAAGACGAAGGAAAATAAACAATTCTATTTACAAAAGGCACAGAAAACAACAAAGAACAATAAATAACTTATAATAAAACTTTTTAAAGGAAGCTAATATTTCGCCGCAAGGTGACGCTCTTAATCAATTTTTTACAGCGGGTAGATGGTACAGCTTCCACCCACAGAGAATCCTGGGGCGTGACGTCAACTACAAGAAGGAAGCGAAGCAAATAGAAAAAGGCAAGTTGTGTTAAGACACACAATCCACGATGAGGAAGTTTGCCTTAAACTTAATGACCGAGCAAGGAAAACCAAAGATACGCGTCTACCATTCAAAAGCCTATTTCATTCCCCCACATTCTTTATTTACCAGAGTTATTTTGAAACACATACGAACACACACACAAAATCAAAATGTATATGCACCAAAGAGATTAGTTGAAAATGCATTGCACTGTCACACAATTTCACACATGTATGTGATATTTAAGAGTCGATTTGACTATAATTAGGAATATCTCAGGAAAAGCGGTAAACTGTAAGGGTTGTTTTATATATTCATAATCTGGCCGAAGTTACATATATATGTATGTATGTATATATATATATATAAAACGTTTGCACCATTTGGTGCTAACGTCTGACTGAAATGAGGTAATGAAGTTTTGTCTTTTACTTTGAAGGGAAATCCGGATGTAGTATTTTTTTTTTTCAAACTCTGGTTGAGTGAACGGTGCTCGAAAGCTGTCAGCGGAGTAGCCCAGCGGTGTCGACAGGAGCTACAGCCCCTCACACTCTCAGTCTGTACGGTGCCTGTGTGGGCAGTCTGTTGGTCTGTGTCCAAACAGCCGAAGACAGCGAGGACGAAGCCGTTTCATTGATTTCTTTTGTATTTATTCGGTGCTGATATGGCCGATGTAAGTTTGAACGAATCGTCCAACGAGGACGTAACCAATCGTTTCGCTCGCAAAGGTGCGCTGAGGCAAAAAAACGTTTACGAAATAAAGAACCACAAGTTCATCGCCAGGTTCTTCAAGCAGCCGACTTTTTGCAGCCACTGTACCGACTTCATCTGGTAAGTTCTCCCGGTCTCTGCACCTCCACCTTCTGCGGCTGCTGCCTGTTGCATGTGTTGTACAAGTTTGGGTGCAGTACAGTGAGTGCTCCATGATTAAACACAACTTCGAGCAGAACTGCCTGCTTTTCTGCCTCCTTCTCTCCACACTCCTCTAATGGACCCACGGTAGACGGGTATCAAACCCACATTTTAGCTGCGGACCACACTGTGGCTCATTGAAGAGGTTTTTGTCAAACAATTCTCCATGGGAGGAGTTCAGCTGCTGCTGCTGCTGTTGTTGTGGTTTTATGTCTTGTTGAATACAGTCTCTGGTTGAAGGCCTGTGACTTCAGCTTGGGCTAAGGTTTGTGTTTGAATTGTCGTTAGTCGGTTTTCAACTATATCTGTGAGGAAGTTATTTCACTTCTGTCTGCAGAAGTCCAGAGACCCACAGTTTGACCAACTTATGACCAAATCATACATATCAGATTTGCAAGTTGACTGAAGCCTCCTGGATTCAGAGGCGAAGCAGAAAGACTGCCACTGCCTGTTTGTACCTTCTGGCTGTTTTCAACAGCACACCTACTTCAATTCTGATTTGGTCCAAATACAGTGAGAACAGTATGGAAGAAGGTTCAAGTACACGAGTGGCCTAACTGTTTACACTGCTTGTTGTCAGTTTAATTCTTTTTTCAATTTAAAACTGAAACTAAACAGAGAGAGTATGTTTATCAGTCCAGGCTTGGGGCTTGGGGGCTACTTCTGACCCACAAACCCCTGAAATTTGGCCCATGGCTAAATGTCAATAACAATAATACTACTACTACTACTAATAATAACAATACTTTAGCTATTCATTTAAGAATGAGGGACATTTTTGATTTTTACTTTCAGTTTATACCAGTATTTTTTGCAGGATTGATATTAAACAAAATATACTTGTTTTTATTTTTTAATACACCTGTGTTATTTATTTTTCAATATTTATTTTTTCAGGGGTTGCCACCTGGGCCTCTTATATACACAACAAAAAATATGATCTTGGAAACTTTTCAAATTCCAAATTTAAGTGAAAGGGCCTTAAGTTGTGTGCTGACATTTAATAGATTCCATAAAAAATGTAAGAAATGAAATAATAATTGAATACCATTTGGTGTAAAATAGATCTGTCTTGTTGTGTTATTGTCAGAAACCGGATCAGACAAAGGAATGCATTAATACATGAACTTTAGTTTTTTTCTTATTTTGTCATAGAAATGTTTCATTGTGTAGTGAAGCTGTAAATACTGTGCTACACTTTAGTTTTTCTGTATGCTGTTGGCATGGATAAACCTTTGTGATTTGCATTATTGTGACCAAAAAGTAATAAATTAATTGAACTGATTGAACATTAGTGTCACTCAAGGATATTAATCATTACTGAAGCCACAGTCAAGTGGTTTGTTAGTTCTTTAAAGATGTATTATATGTTTATCTTTTCAAACCTTTTACATCTTTTTATGTTCATCTTTCACTCATAACATTGATCATTCTTGGGTCTGGACCCCATATGTAAGATGTAGTTGGAGTCATCCGTAGTAGGGATGACTCCAACTACATTTTTTTTATGTCCACTATGGATACCAATACTGAAACTTGGAGTATCGGCCAATACTAATATCAATCCACCATGCCACAGGCTGCCTCTGCTGAGTGTCCCTGTTTACAGCATGTCCAAAGCTAAGGTGATCTTTTAGGCTGAGGTACCAGATTGGATTGAATGTTTAATCCTGAAATTTGAAATATTAGACAGATACTAACCCTGAGTAGTATTGGAGTCGTCCCTAACCTGTAGCCATAGCTGTTAATTTTTAGAAATACTTCCCATCAGGAAAACATGGATTGACTTTCTTCTCAGTTCTAAATGATTGTCAGTCAACATTTTGTCTCTGTCATAATGTTATGGTCTTAAAGTTATTTTTCATCCAATACAAAGTCAGTATTTTAGGAAGGCATAAAGATTAGTAAATGATGCCCTGAAATAAAAATTGTATTTTTCAAGACTAGCATACATATGGAGTTACTGTAACTGTTTACTAAGTAAAGCAACAATTACCCTGGGAGCTAGTACAAAATGGCTGAACAGGCACCATTTAAATATTTGCAAAATATTAAGCTGATGTCAAAAAAGATTTTAAAAACCCAATAACTACAGCTGATGAGGTCCAATATGAACCTAATGGAATGACTGTCCTTACTGCAGATGCCCTTCTTTCAGTTGAATTAACCTAAATCAGAGTAGAATGGTGTCTTTCAGTCCACAATATAAAGCCGATTCAACTATGCCGAATCAGCAGTTAGGTCGTTAGTCAATCTCTTGACGATGCTAATTGAAGCCACCTGCAGCCAATCCTTATTGGAGCCTTTGAGCATTTTTCAGAGGCAGACGATGACAAATCAGCACTGCTACACACACACACAAACAAACACTCTTAGCTTTTTGTGTTTTGTGAGCACTTTACATTGACATAATACAGTCCCTAGCCCATTGTCCTGACCTTTACCCCTTCAAATATATGCCTAATCCTAATCTGTATCCATTTTATCTTGCCCTATTTTTCATTCTTACACTGAACAGTAGTATTTATCAAATGTTTGATACACACACATACAAATCAGGTTATGGTCATCTGAGGTGAATTGGTAAAAGTCTCCTAAAACAAATAGTTCAAAAACAACTTTTTTATCTTCCTCTTACAGGGGAAATACTTCAGTGTGCCTGCACATTTTTTGGCCTGATCTTTATCAGGCAGAGGTCTTATGTTGGAGGAAAAAAAATGACAACACTACATTACATGCATGCATACGGTTCTAATCCACAGATCATGCTGTATTCCTTTAAATAATGCAGCAAAGCTGTGCAAACACACAGTAGACCTGGCTGGAGTCTTAGGATGACTAATAGGTTTCTCTCTTCCTGGCATGTAACAGAGTGAAAATCCTGTATTTAAAGCTAATGGAGAAGAATGAAATGAAAATGATTACAGACCTTTCAATGAACAACTTGGAAGAAATAAACACTTCTACGATAAAATATAAAACAAAAACCCCCAAGGTGTGCCTCCGAGTAACAAAGGTCCTTTAATCGTGTAAAAAAAAAAACATCTGACCAGGCATTATTTTCACAGAACATTGCTAGGTCTGGTATCCGAGTTACCATGTTTACCTTCTCCTACTCCACCACCCAGAGGAACTGGTCTGATCCTCTCAGTGTAGTCCTGCAAACTTCAATACCATCTGCACTCCATCTCCAGGCCAATGTAATGGTATCCTCCGGTGTAGCTTTCCCACTGCGATATTAACTTCTCCTCATCCTAACTCTGAGAGGAATAAACTAGCTGGAGTTGCACCCGCAGTTACAGTCCTGCGCTGCTACAGTCACAGTTTAATGGAAGATCTTTACTGCTGACAGTCTATGACCTACATTAACAGCATGACTTTTGCTCAACTGAACATCGGCCTTTTACTAAATACAAGCTCAGCAGGTTCTGAAGCTCAAAGCAAACAATTCGCCACCTTAAAAAGGGCGTCCTCTTCATATACTTTCAGTCGTCTTTTTTGTACAGAAACATCAAAGCGACTGGAGAAAAAGAGACATGTTCAATTTTTTTTTGATTCCCCAAAGTGAGAAACTTTTTATATAGAAGCAAGTTATGTTATTGAAAACGTCCCTAACACTAGTCCTTATCAGAGCATCTGAGAAATGTTGACAAATGTCTCATTTGGGGTTTGAAAAGCACAGGAATTTGACATTTATAAACATTTGTCAAAAGCTCTTCTAGTATCAAGGAAATAATGATGACCGCGCCCAGATGTAAATATGGTGTGGGTGCCCGGTAGTGATCTTGCAGTAGATCTCAAAGGAAGTGCTAGTAGACTGTGAACAATTAAAGAAAACATAAAAATATACGCAAATTAAAAAATACTTTTTGTGAAGCTGAGTTGGCTTGGGTTCGTTGGAAACTTTCCCCACACATTGCACACACAGCATTGCAGCTAGATAAATTTAATCAATGTTTGACAAGATAAAACGTATATGTTCTGCCTATAAAAGTAAATATATATTTAACATGTCAATGTAGTTTCTGTACATTTTGTGATATATTGTGATTCTGTAGTGTAGCGGTTTTCACGCCTGACATGCACATCTGCACAACACACAGATGGTCCTGGGTTCGCACTCCAAAGAAACCACATACCTAATGGTGCCCCCACATGTGGTAGCATGTGGAGACTTTGTGGTTAGCGCGCCTGCTTGCTTGAAAGCAGAGAGCAAAGAGTCCGGGGTTTGAATTCCCAAAGAAACCACATACCTAATCACGCCTCCTCAGGTAGCCTGTGTCGGTTGCAAAGACTCACACTGTACATTTCCCCAATGTGGGCTGAATAAGGGACTCAATTATTGTTATTATTATCCAATGATCCTAAATTGGATAAATGTGTTTATTTTTATTGTATTTATGAATAATTTGCTGTTACGTTGTGGGAAAATGGCTGTTGACGTCTGTATTCTTTGTCTCCACAGGGGGTTTGGAAAGCAAGGATTCCAGTGCCAAGGTAAAGCCAACTGACTGAGTTCTTAGTTGTTTACATAGATTCCCAGTCTGTGCATGTCTTCATGGGAAGATCTTCTGAAAAACATTCTAAGAATAGAGATTTATATTGGACACGTTTTCACATATAATTAAAACCATTCAAACAACATGTAAATCCAAAAACCACACACTGATGGTTTTACGACAACAACTCAATTTCATTTCCAGGGAAATGAATGTTTTCAAGAGAATGTGTCTGTAGTTCATGATAACAGAAACAGGATTTAATCAGAGTGATGGGATCTCGCAGAGAAGTTCCTGTATTGATCCACGGTTGGCCTCCTTACACTTTAGGTGCATTTCCCATCCATCTGCCATTTTGAGGTCCACGCATAACTCTGAGAATTCCTCAGTTAATGTGGAAACTTCAGGGTGTGCCAAGGCCTGACTGTAGCTGTTAGGACCCAGGTAATGCTGCAGATGACGGCCCACTCCATCTCCACCCCTTTACAAACACCCTGTAATGTTTTTAATAGCCCGGTATAAATTATGCAGTACACAAGACACATACTCTGTGGAGTATGTACTCTAATGTACCATGTATTTAAGAGCTCCTTTCTTAAGTTGACTTTTATAGTTTGAATAAGAGCAACAGAGTGGTGCAGGGTGGAATAATAGTCACTCTCTCTCTCCTCCTTCTCTTTCTCTCTCTAAGCCTCCCTTCCCTTTCCTCCTCTGTTTTACTTTGTTTTTTTTAAGTGTATTTGTCTTTGACATGGCAGCCATTTATTTTGACTAACATATCAGTAAAGTTAGTGCGACCTGCAACTGAGTCCAACCTGGTTTATCATTTATTATGATAACACTTCAGATGATTTAGAAAGTCTTCTGGGTGTGTGAGGGCCTCTGTTTGTTAGGTGTTTGAACGTACTGTGCAGAAGCCTGTATTTAACCCATGTCTGCATGTTAATACACCAACACCCACTCACCTGTGTGTGATCTGTCACAGTGGTGAGATTCACCTGCTCCGACTGACTGGACTTGAAAAGAGTCAGTAAAGGGTGTTGACATCTCAACTGGGGACGCCCCGATACTTGGACTTGGCATCAAATCAATCAAACTGTCAATCAAAATTGACAGAAATAAAACGTGTTTGTGCAACAAGTGCACACATCAAAGTGCCGAAGGAAACATTGCAGAGATGTAGAATATCAGTGTGATTGAGCTAATTGATTTTCCTCCGTTCTCACTTGTATTCTGTTCTCACAGCTTTAGGTTCACATTTTCATATATAACACCAAATCCCTGTAGGCCCTAAACAGCCGCCGCCTGCGACCACATTTGCCAACCAACATAAATCCTTGCCAGGACCCTTTAAATAAATAATGAGGGCCTTATCAAGACAGAGGTGATTGGTTACACAGTTGCTTTTCAGAGAGAGAAAGGTCGCCACTTTATAATAGAGTATCTGTTAAGCCATCAATAATTAAACTGGAGCCTCTGTAAAATGAGGGTCACTTCCTCCTGCAGAGAATAAAGAGACTCACAGTCAATACCTGAAAATGACAATGTGATCAACTGGAGAGTGGCATTTCTGCAACAACGGTGACATTTTAGTCTAAGTGTCTTCCTTCAAAGAAGATGGTGGAATTAAATGCTATACTATGTTTTATTATGCTCACTGTGTGACAGAAATATCAGTAATTACATACTGATTTAATAAGAAAGGATATTTCTAAATCTTTGAGAAATTGTATATTTTCGACTGTGTTGGACTAGCACTGGTGGGCTGGGTGCACCTCTACAATGTGGTAAAAGTTTCCTGCTGGTCCTACTTTTGCCAAATCTGCACTCTCTAACACTCTTAGTTTCAAATAACACCTTCATGGGGGTGGAGTAACTGTGGCGTGCAGTTAATGTTGTTGAATCAAACGCGCCTACATCAGTAACAACCATCCAAGATGTTATCTGTATATTTGTGAACAGTTTGTCAAACGTCTCTTGGATACTCTTCTGCTGGAGTCGTATTTCGAGGCCCTGCTCTAATGTTTACGGTTGTCGAGTAGCGCATCTAAAAATCACTGACTCTGTTTTCTTTTTGTATTCTTTGAACTGTTAGGTTATCTGTCCTGGTGTGAGTATCAGCTCCACCTCAAGGCACTCGTGGTGGGATTGTTGAATGAATTCCTTGTTTCAGTCAGTCTCAAAGTAATTATCACACCGCTACAGATTTACTGATGACTCTTGAGCCTGGACAAGCGAGGTTTAGATACTTTGTAACTCATGAGTTACAGTGTCTTGGAACATTGGAAAGAAAAATGATGATGAGGAGAGAAGTAAGGCTGATGTGAAGCCACGGACTGTACTGTGGACCTGTGGACCTGGACGAATCAGATCATAGATTTAGACCAGGTGTGCACCATATGTCAATAGCCTTCAAGTTCAGGGAGATCCCCAGTCAAAAAAAAAGTACATGTTTGCCAGACTAACGTTCAGAGTTCAGACTCATGGACGATTATGGAACTTACTCACAGGGGGAAACATTAGGAAACAGTCAGCCTCTGACCTCCCTCACTGCATTGTTTGGCTCTACTTTTTTGTGTGAGTCAACTGACATTTACTGATCCTCATTAACTATGACTAAAGCTATGCTGAATCATTGCATGGTTTATTGGCTCATGCAGTTATGCACGGCCCATTTGTATATAATGTATATATACTTCATATATATATCGTTATATATCTTATGTTTAATTACTGTAATTACATTTATACCTGTTATATAAGTACATACAACCTTGTAATGTATTCGTCCACTTGCTGCTGTCTGCTGCTTCAGTATGGATGTACGGTACAGTAGGGGGATTTACAGTTGAAGACTGTAAAGCTGTACTTTGTCAGTTAAAACTCCAACTTCATTAGTGGAATATCCACCCTGTGTCAGTTTTCTAATGAAAACCTGTTGTTTCCATCATGCTTGGCTGCTCCACTTAGATTTGTATGTCTTAATAGAAATGAAGCAGGAAATGACTTTCATTTCACTAATTCACATCATAGTGCCTTTGGATAGATGTCTGTGAGTTGGATATGAATGTGAAATAACACCATGGACCGTGATCTTTTCTGTTAGTTGTTGTTTTACTTTATTTTTCTTACAATACTAAGAAACATCCCCCAAAGATTAAACAACAATAATGTCCAATGTGTTTTTCTTGGACTTCACTGAACTGCACTGAATAGACAAAACATTTTTTTGTAGAATATAACATCAGTCTTGCATTTCTTTAACAACTCTTTGTGAAAACAGTGAAATGGCCTTTGTTAAAAGGTTTGGAGATAAATTCGATTTAAAGCTTTCATCTGCAGCTAAGTGTATTTAAATGTTCTGCAAGAGGAAATTAAAATTCAATCAAGCAAAGATTTATACTGTGTCACTTGTGTGGCTAACAGTACAGACCAGTCTGCTCTGATTGCAGTTCCATCTCTGCAGCAGCAGTGCTTTGGTTCATGCCATCAACTCCATCCCTTTTTTCCCCCCTTTTTTTGCAAAGCGGCCTTCTTAGAACAAAGACGTAGATCCAAAGCTTGGAGCTTTGATGCTGACCAGCTGCATTCTGCCATGTGAGCCGATGTCCTGCCAGCGTTTTTCCATTTCATGTCTTCTTCTTTTTTATCTTTCAATTATCAACTGAAACCTTTCTTCTTCTGAGCTGCGTCATAGAAAATGTCCTCCCTATAATAGAGGTGCGCACCTCATTATGACGTCATGACCATCACACTGGTGTGATGGTCTGATTTAGTGTGGCCCAGTTGATATGACCACCAGGCTTCAAAGGTTAACAACAAACAAATCAGGCTTTTCCTTTTGCTCAAACTTTAGTCAAACTAATATTATTTTATAAACCTTTATTTACATTTTTGGTGTTGATGACTTTGTTTTAATTTGATGGTTATTGATGATTATTTCTCTAATTAAAAATACACAGAAATTTCTGGGCAGATAGTTACACAAGTGCAGCTTAGAGTAAAGATGTCTGTTTTCCTCCTGCTCTTCCTTCAGTTCCGTTTTGACCTGTGTCATAAAAATAGTTATTTTTTATGACACAGGATTGTTAACGCTCAACTGTTATCAGCTGCTGTACAGGTCTGTAATGGAATCAACAGGTAACTTGTACAGTGGACAGCTGTTTTACAGCACTGGGCACAGGTTCCACCAATCAGAGTCTATGATAACAGCAGTGTTCTGGGACACAGGGAGAGACATGGCCCTTTGGACAGAGACTGGACGTGCACTGATGCCAGTATTGGTATCAGGATTGATATCTTATTCAAATAGGTATTGGTACTCGAAAATGTGTTGATGCAGCCACCTGATACTGTGTATTTTTATTTATTTTTTGTTTATATATTGTTTAATGTGATGATGGTGTCATTTTTGTTAAGTTATAAACACTGGCTGTCCTCTGGTGTCCTTACTGTTTAAGGTTTGTCTTTGCATGTCACTCCATTTCCCACACTGCTGTGCCGCCTACATAACACTGCCTTTCAGTTCATTGCATATTTATTGCAGTTCAATCAAAATAATTGGTATTTGGTATCGGCAAGTACACCTATAAAAATGCGCGTACTCTTATCAGTTTGCAAACAGCTGGTATCAGGGCAGCTCTGCCGGATACCAATAAAGTAGGACATTTTGACTCATTTTTTATGACACACCTTTATTGTACTGCTATGGAATACACCAAAGTACAATAATACTTGGTTTGCAAACAGTTTAGTCAAGCAATGGGCCTCTTGAGGCACATTTTTTTTTGTAAATTGCAAGTAATTGAGTAGCTGAAAAGTAAAGCAGCTGAGAATGCCAGTTCTGATGAGATTCTTGTGAACCCTGTTAAAAAATGTCTGTTCTGTCTTTTCTCTTTTTTATTTTTTAAAAATGTATTACTGACCAGCTATTTTAGGATCAAGCTAATCTGGCTAAATCTTGTACATTATTTATTACCTGACTTTTCTCCAATGCAT